CGACTATATAAGGCTTTGCTTCAAAATCTGTTTAAATCTGTTTTCATTTCCCCAATCCAAGCTCCAGTGATGTCACCTGCAAGTGACAACTATGACTAAGGCTTAGTCCCTAAATATTTAGTGAAGTAACCTTTCAGATGGGTTCTTAAGAGTTTTAGGTCTGAAATATAGCAGAGTAGATGAAGATTTGAACTTTCATTCTGCATTTTCTAGCTATCAACGATCTTGCACTACTACAGCAACTTCTTATTGCTTCAAAAGTGTGGCTCTCCTTCTAAAGTATACTCTGAAAGATTTCCAAGGCAATATGTAGATATGTTTTTATTTATGACCTATTACATACCAATACATTTTAAGCAGCAGTTTAAATTTAATCCATTTGTTTTATTAAATATGATTACTGTGTATTTGTACTGCTGCCTCCCACTGGAATCCTAAGCAGGAACAATGATCCTATTTTGCTGTCCAAACACAGGGCAAAACTGTCCGTCTTTCAAAGAGTTTACAATCTAGCTGCAAGACAAGAGACCACAAGGAGAAGCAGATGGGGCAACACACGGTGACAGATTTGGTGAGGACCATGGGCACAACTGTAGCCCATCAGCCTGGTTGTTTCTGAGGACACTGGACAATAGCCTTAACACTGTGGAGCTGAGGGGAATAGAGGGGCTTCACAGAGACTAACTCAGATTAGGAGCTATGTGGGATATTTTGAGACAGTCTCTATAGAAGGTTTGTGCCTCTGAGGATGGAGGGAGCTGAAGACTAATCTTTAGTACCCAAACAAGGGGTCTTAATTGGGATGGGCAAATCCCACTTCTTGCAAAGGGTTCCTTCTTTTTACTACTAAATGGGAATATAAATTCCACTGATCTCTTTGGTTTCACGTAACCATAATATTGAATTCTGTCTGGATTTCATTGTGACTCAGTATCAGTTAATACCCATGTGTTGTAAAGTGTTAGTCGTAATTGGATTTACACTTTTCTCATAAAGTTGTTGAAATGTAACTAATTTTACTGTAATTGTGATCTTTAAATTTTCAATGGTTTCTTTTATTGAGTAGCTGTTGCAGGACATCATTAGCTTGTAGACTTTAATATCTGGAATATAGTATAATTTACACGATTCCATTATATGTCTATCAGATTTCAAGCTGGGTTTGAGGCAACTGCATTTGAATTACCAAAACAGGTACAAATTGGAAACTTTAAAAATAAATAGAATAGAGTACAGCCTTAATTTCTTTGTTCAAATCTACCATGAGGGTGAGGAAAATTTCTTTTTAAACAAAAGAATTAGATCCATTCCTTACAAATATAAATGGTTCAGAAAAACAAGGTTAGAATGCCACCTGGGGGCTTATGTTGCCATCACACTGCACTTAAGACCAGAGCAGCTTGCATTTATACAGCAAGTTCCAAAAAATTATTCTCTTCATTTTCTTCATGATGTAGATTAAGAGTCTTAGGAATTTTGTGGCTTTGTTATTCCATCTTGTAGTATCTGTTTCTTGAGTCCTTCAGCAACAATACCATAGCAGAACTTGTCAATGAAGAAGTGTACCAATATGCTTTATGCCACTATGTGCCATACTCTGTTTCTTCTCACACACACAAAATCAAAATAATAATAATTTAAAAAAATACAAAATATACAAGGTACAAAAAAAAAAATCAAACATGTATTAGAAAAGAGTAAATGACATCAACCACATAGCAGCAAGGACCATAGGTTTCCTGGAGACAGAAAAGTGATCATTCAAGCACAATTAAACTGCATAATGCAGCAAATCAAGGCATTAAAAGTGGAAATGTACAAAGCACATTTCTAATCCAGTAAATTAGTATTAACATAAGTGTTTGCTTAGCTTTAAACAGTAGTGTGACAGATTCATAAACAGGAGTTAATGAACCCAGTGTGGCAAAAGTGAGAATTCACCTGTATTTTTGCCATGAATTACAACTAAACACAAATATTCCTGTTCTTAGAAGAAAACGGATAGTTTCTCCCTACCTATTAGTATTCGTCTGCAACCTTTGTGACTTTTCAGATCCCAGATTATCATTCAGACTAGACAGAACTTAATGTACAGTGTGCATATTTGGCTGTTATATCTGAAGCCAAGAGGAAGCAGTTATTTCCTCTTGAGGATTGCAACAGGTCATGGGTTCATTACGGATAACCCTCCTCCCAGCCCCTTGGGCTTCTCAGGCTGGCTCCCTCCCAGCTTTTATGAGGAACTACAGCACTGCAGTGGGAGCTGAAGCCCACAGGTAGCTCCTGATGGGCTCTCCCACCGAGTGCCCAGGCACCAAGGACCCTGTAAGTCAGCAGCCCAAAGGCATGTGGTCTGCAGAGCAAGGCAGACCCCAAGGAACCCAGGGGTAGGATTACTGTGTGCGTGGACATCGTGTGTCCTATGAACAGCAAGAAAAGATGAAATCATGCAAAGGGAATCCCATAATAATGGGCAACATACAAGTTTACAATACTGTTTCAAGGGCAGCTGAAGCTGTTGTCTAGTCGGATGATGAAGGACCTTCCTGCAAAATAAAAGATGCTTATCTTGTAAAATGCAATATTATTTATTTGCATCTCTGCTACTGCTAATGCAGACAGCTGATGCCCACTTCAGGGGAGAGACATGTCCCAGACAACACGCAAGCTGCTGCTGCAGGAACTTCTCCAGATGCACTGATATAGCTGCCGGACTCCCTTTCACCTCTGAGTAAGTTCCCGGAGGAGCCAGCTCCAAGCTCACCTCATGGAAGCTCATCTCCTAGGCCCAGTACAATGTGGGGAACCAGGGGGCACTGCAGGATGAGCCCAGCTCTTAATGCACAGAGGGGACACATCCAGCCACCTCCTCCGATCCTGTATGCTGATCCTTAGGCTGAGCTCTGCAGTGCTGTGACATGTGGTGCCTCTCAGGTGGCCTGCTGTTTGAAAGGGATACCTTTTCTGCAGGATTGAAGGCAAAAATGTCTGGGCATCCACACCATTTGTCTGACCTGGGGAATGCAATGACCTATTAACTAGCCTAAGAGGGTGGATTTGGCACAAATTGAAGATAAAGAAGAGCAGAACAGATTCTAAAGGTATATACGCTGAGCATAAAGAAGAATAATACTGTTCATTAAAACATCACATTGGCTGGACAACTCTGCTTCTAACTTTTGTTTTTTTAATGTGTGAAGTATTTTAGACTGTATTTCATCCTGGCAGAGTGTGAAATCCTTAGAGGTGCTTTTCAACTGATATATTTATTAGACATAAGGGAACATACTGTCTGAATTAGTCATGGATTTTGAAACTGAAGCACAACGCATTATTTCTCAATGGTATGGCTAACTTTAGAGATCTTGTCTTTAAAAAACATATTCTAGTTCATTCTGCATAGAACTAAGTTGTTTTTAAAATAAGATTCCAAAGTATTTGTTTACTTGTATTTGGTGCTCATGATCTATCTCTAAAAGTACTATCTCTCCCATATAAAATTAAATTCTGATGTACATGTATATTAGAGCTACACATATCCATACCTGTGTGTTTTGGTTGTGTGTGTGTGTATATTTACAGCTTTATGCCACAAACAAGTTGTTCCTTTTGTTTAAATGTATTGACGCCTACAGTAAATGAAGCCATTAAGGAGTTTATTAATGGGACTGCAAATGACTGTATGAAAACTTATTATTAATGATTGTTTCAGGGATAAGATGCTAAGAAAATGAAAATGCCATATGCTACTGAGCCTTCCTTAAACCCAGTTTTTGGAGGAGAGGGCGACAAATACTAAGCACCCAAACACGGTGTTACTGATACCCAAGAGGTGGGCTCTGATGGCAGGCTTAATTACCGAGACAAGGCAGTTTTCCAAGGTCCAGCAAAGCCATGCAAGGCTTTTGGCTCTGCACCATGTGAGAACCTGGTGTCTTTCCAGTTCTCGTTGTGAAGGAGCCTTTACAAGGAGAGTATGACATTTACAACCTTCCAGACTGGCTGCCACGAAGGTCAAGGCCCCGTATTTATCTACAGAGATGCTGAACAGCACAGCCCTCTGCACTGCGTCTTTTCTGCCCTGCCTCCTCCAGACGTGCTGCTGTGATACAGAGGCACGCCTTCAAACGGGGAGACGTGGCAGGAAAGGAGGCGGAAAGCCAAGGACCGCGTTTCCGTGCCGCACCGGAGCGGAGAGCACATCCTCACGGCCTGCCTGGCTCGGCAGCATTCCCGTCCTGCCTCCGGGCAGGGAGGGCTCTCCTGTCCTTGTTTTCTTGGAACGACAAGCAGTGCAGGTAGCGCAGCGGAGGACTCCAGCTGCAGTAACCCCATGGATCCTGCCCTTGCCCCGTGGGAACAGCACGTCTCACCGGGATGTGAGGCTGTCATGACTAAACTTTTCAGAAAGGCAGCTGTGTGCTGAAGTGGACAAGCACGTGTCTTGCTTTAAAAGTGGTTTATGCTTCCCAAAACCTTTAGTCTACTGGGAAGTTGCAAAGACCCTGTCCTCGCAGCCGTGTTTTGGAGACAGCACATGATCTGGGCTAGTTGGCTTGGCGAAGCACTCAGCAGAATACAAGGAAGTCTAGGCACAGAGAATGCAAATGCCCATAGTCAAGGAAAATCCATCTCATACAGGAAAAATCTGGGAAACAAACAAGAGGGTCACAATAAAATGGTAGAATTGATTTTTTTTTGAACACGACAATGTTCTTTTCCTTGAAATTAAGGCAGCAATCAAGAGCTAATGAAGGAAAATATTTTGTTATGTAGTCACTCTTAATTAACACGCTTTCTTTATGCAATTAAACCACAGAACTAGTCACCTACCCCCCCACCCGACAGCCACTCGGCGGTCGATTGCTCGGGCCCGTCGTGGCCCTGCCCGCTCGAGGGCCGGCCGGCGCGGGGCTCGATTAGGAAGGCCTTGCTGGCGGCGCGGGGCGGCGCGCGGCAGTTGCCGCCGGTTGCAGCGGCGCGAGCGCCGGTCCCGGTGCCAGTCCCGGTGCCGGTCCCGTCCTCGTCCTGTTGCCGTCGCGGGCGGCCGCCGATGCTGCGGTGGCTGATCGGGGGCGGCCGGGAGCCGCAGGGCCTGGCAGAGGTAAGGCGGCGGCCAGGGGGCGGGGCGGCCGCCGCGGGAGGCGGCGCCGAGGAGCGCGGCGGCCGTTGGGGCCGTTGGTGAGGGGCGGGGCCGGGCTCGCCTCGCGGGGAGGGAGCGAAAGAGCGTTAGAATAAATACAAAATAAAAACAGCCCTCTCCAAAGCATCAGCAGCCCCCGACTGGGCAGGAGCCGTAGCCGGCGGCTGTGCAGGAGCCTGTGCTTGGGATAGGCGGCAACTGGTGTCGTGTAGTCTCTAAGGGTCTTTTTTTTTTTTTTTTTTTTTTTTTTTTTTAAATTACATTTTTCACCCGTGCGGTAAGCTGGGCCTGTGCAGTGCGCTAAATGCAGGTGTCCCTCCTGATGTTTTGCTTGCAGTGCGGTTTCCCTGGAGTTGAGGGGTGCTGTACTGGGGTTTCCTAATCCCCAACGCTTCCCAGTGTCTCAGCCTGGAGCTCTCCTTAGCAGGAGCTGGTGGGTGGTTGTGCCTGAGCTCCCTGCACTGCTGCTTTTGCAGGCCAGGCAGATAGGGAGAAATGACGCATTTTCAGCCGTGGAGCTGGAGCTTGTCATGACAGCACCGTGCCAGGGTGTCGTAAACACTGCTCCTTACTTGGGTAGAAATTTGAGTGTATGGGTGGCCGGGAAAGCCTCTGACTTTCTTATGGCTATGTTATGGTCATGTTTACCAGGGATGTTTATAGTCATGTTTAGCGTGGAAGAAAAGAGATGGGGAGCATTTAGCAGTGTTCTGTGGTGTGCTGGAAAGCTGCATTGCTATGTGTTTGTCTCCCACATTTAAACTCTGAGCATGGCAAGGCACCGTCCATTTATTCTGCTGTTTGTTCCTTTCTTAAATCCAATTTACTTTCATCTAGGTGTCCTGTAAGCATCAAAATGATGATCAGTAAGTTAACCACAACATTCACCTCTCCTTCACAATTTCCCATGCTCCCTGTAATCTGAGCATTTCACAGTGGACTTTTGTTGCCATTGCTGCTACAGCCTTGCTGAATGATAGTGATCATTTTGCTTCTCTGAGCAAGACTGACTAATATGTATTTATAAGAGTCAATCTCCAGTTTTATGTATTTATTTGCGTTAGGTAATATCTTTTTCCCAAAGTTGCACTGCACTGCATCTGCATTTTTTTCTGTCCTGCCTCCTCCAAATGTGTCAGTTGTGATACTGAGGCATAGGATAAAACGAGGAGGTATGGTATGACTCTAAATTCTCTCTGTCCTCCTAGGAAATGGAGAAATAAGCCCATAGTGTGTGTGGCCATGGGCAGACAGTTTAGTTTCATGCGCTTTGCGTTCAGCCAGGCATCAAGAGGCCAGCTCTATTCAAGTCTGGCATTGCCCTGGGTGAATGGCAAAAACTCTTTGGCAAAGCTGGCTTAAATTGATGAAATGTAAATTCCCACTAACCCATTTTTTTTCTGTACAGTGGAACTGAAAATCAATTAGACTTAAGCACCTAAATCACTTAAGTTGATGGCCATTCTCTGTCTCTAGGCAGAGGAGCTCTGCTAATGGAAGCAATCTAACTACAGTAGCACCGTACTCCCCATAAGATAATTTATCATGCTCTGTGGTACATACAGAGAGGTGTGTATTGCTCATGTGTTTTTGGTGAAATACTTTTGCAAAATCCCGGTGTGAAATACTCAGATTACAGGGAGTATAGGAAATTGTGAAGCAAAGGTGAATGTTGTGGTTAACTTACTGATTAACTTACTGATCATTTTGATGCTTACAGGACCTACATGAAAGTGCACAAGCTGGGAATATATTCTGTTAGCATCAGAATGTATTTTCCTCTTCTGAAAATCTTTAAGAAAGTTAAATTAATGTTACTTACAGATTTTTTTCTACATTTAAAGAAAATTCACCTAACCTGGTATTTCAGTAAATGTTAATGAAAATTTGAAAAGGGAATACCCTTTATATGACAGTACTGGAGAAAAAACTGCAGTTCATTTTACTAGGATCTATAGTACTTCATCAGTACTGTACCTCTCAGGATTCACAGGCATTCCAAGAAAGGACAGAACATCTTCTGTTGATTATGAAGCAACAGTGGAATATAGCATTATTTCTAAAAAAAAAAAAAAAAAAAAAAACCAAAAACTTCTTGAAAGAAGCATTACAATTTTGTGAAAATGTTTTTGTATTAGTAAATAAAAAATAGAAGCTGTCTTCTTCTAGCTACAGTATTTTTACTGCTATTTGTTAAATTATGCTGGTTTTTGTCTAAGATTTTTTGGAACTATTTTTAAAGAAAGTTTTGGGATGGATTTGACAACTGAACTTCTAGTTTCCATATTTTTGCACTTTTAGTTATATCTGTGGGGGCTAGACTTGCACTATTTTGAACAAGAACTGCTATTCTAATATAATTATATAAAATGTAGAGCAGTTGCCTGATGAAATATATCAGATAAAAAAAAAAAGATAAAATCACAAAAACTACAATGCTGACAATCTCTCAGTTTTAAAAATAAACACAGATTACTTTTCTTATTTATTAGTGTTGTAATTCTAGTGAAGAATAATGCTGTAGGACCAGTACAGAAGTAATAGAAAATTATTATTTCTGCAAGGAAATGTTGATGTTTCTGGGGATATGCCTGTCCTTCATGCAAGAGGGATGTTCCTGTCCTGTATGCTGAAGGCAATTGCTGCTTTACAGCAGTGCCAAGAGTAGATTCTTTTGGACACTTCAAAGAATAGACAGTCCTGCAAGTAAGAACCTTGACTGCCATGTAAAATAAAGCTGGGAACATGAGAATACTCTCACTGAGTTACTACTGAGCTATTTACTTACATATTTATAATTATGTCTAATAACAAGTTGTTCCAGAATGCTGAAGACTATAAACCTGTAAACATGTTTAAACGTGTAGAAATTCTCATATTGAAACAAACCAATGATTGTGATTACTGGAACTGTCATGCCCTGAAATTGTAGCCCTGTATAATGTTTTGTAGACCCTGACAGTGATCAGCTTGCTCCGAGTGAACGATAATCGTTTTAATTAGTAGTCTAGCTGGGATAATTGTAGGTGCTGTTTTATAAACAATCTTTTTTTTTTCCTTCGTCTTTCTAAGGTATTGGCTTTTGCACTTTGTAAATAGAGAACCAAGAAATGACTTATATATTAACTACCAGAACAGCATTTTTTCTTGTTTATTTTAAAGATGTCGTCTTTATATAAGATTAAAAGATTGAATTGCAGGTGAAGGGTATAAGAAGTTTATAGACCTCTTGGCAAATGTGTAGTTTAATGAAAAACTGAGTGGCTGATATATTGTGTCAGATAGTGTACACCACCTTGTAGCTGAAACTGAACTGCTTTTTCATCTTGGTATATCAATGATTAAAGCAGTACAAATGCTTTCTAAAACACAAAATGTTGTATGATAATTTAAAATACTTGTGATAGAAATTATTTACTTGAAATAAAAGTATTGATCCTTGGTTATGTTTTTCAATAAGGCAAAATTATAATTCAGAATTAATCATTTAAATTAATATTACTACACATTCACAAACAAATGTATATACCCAGAGTTTTAGACATTGCAAAGACCCAAGCAATTATGTCAGTAATTTTATTTTCTCTTTTTATGAATTTTTAGAAATCATCTGTGCAGACCATTGGTGAAGAACAAATACAGAATCCTTACACGGAGCTTCTTGTATTGAAAGGTCATCAAGATATAGTACGATTTCTAGTGCAAATAGATGACTACAGGTATGAAACTACTTTTCTAATTGCTTCAGAGCATCCTTGGGAATATTTCTGTGAATGTTTATAAAAATGTAGAAATAATTTTTATCTTTTTTTTTCCTTCTGCCAGAACCTAAGGGAACCTAGTTAAAAATCCAAATTCTGAACATTTTGTTTGTTTTATTTGTTTTGAGGGGCAGGGCTAGTAAAAGAGACTGAATGTAAAAGGCAAGGAATAAAAGCCCCTTTTTTGCAGTGTTATTAATTCGACGTCTCTCATGAGTTACACTTTTTTATGAGAAAACACTGATCATGCAGTTAGATTTCTTGATACAAATTAAATTAACTACAAGAAATGCTTTTAGCTAATTCACTGCTTTTCAGACTTCTGTTCTGGATGGATTTGTGTATTTTATGTTTTTGATTTGAAGGTAATTTATTTCGCCTTTTGATTTTGCAGAACAATAGACTCCTACAGGTACTGTGAATGTAGCAATTGAAGATTACATTATCAATAGTATTGGTTATTCCTCTTCCTTTCTTTCCAATCTTTTGTCAAGGTTCCCAAACTTCTGCTTTTTCATTAGTGCTTAAAGCCATATACGTGTTGTACTTTCATCTGGAAGTCTAGTGATTAAGTCACTTGAGCTTTGGTTAATCCAACCTTTTTCCCTGAATTTCTCAGACTGTGATTTTTTCACCACTTTTTTTTTATACAGAATGACTACCTGCTCATCCTTACTCAAATGTGCCTCCATATTGCATATCTCCTTCATTTTATTTTTGTTTATTACTGGAAGCAGTAAATCAGGCTGAACTTCCCTAGCACTTTTTTTTTTTTTTTTTTTCCTTTTCTCTTTGAAATTTTAGCTTTGTGCATTTTGTGTATGACGGTTTTTGTTACTTGTTCTTAGCTCTTTGTAATGAGCTCCAGTTTGAACTGTGAACTCTGTGTGAGGAATCATCTAAACTGGAAAAACTGGTTATGAAACTAAGATGAAGAGCCTAGATTTACTGTTGTCACTTTGTATGTGTGACTGAGAGAATGAGTTATGACAGTGTCATATTAGTGACCTGGCTTCTGTCCTAGCTTTGTCTGAATTAGCCTTGTGTGCTCTTTCATTTAACTTAATCCTGAAAGAGAGGAAATAATATATAGCTGCCTCAAAATGTAAGATTGTGAAGCTTTTAGTCAGTAGTAAGCATAGTAACTCTTGGCTGATGTGGAGAATTAAGCCAGGAAACCTTCAGAGCGAAGAAGCGAAGTAATAGGGAAGCCTCTCTGTTAGGGAGCTATAATAGATTATAACTTTTATAGATTAAGCACAGAAGAGGTTTTCTAACACATTCATCAACAGACTACAGAAATATAGTGTGTGTGAGGATTTGGTTTCTATGCTCACAGTATATAGCAGGAATATTGCCAAAGAAGATGATCTCCTTCCACATGTGTATTGATCAGACAGACGGTCTCATCCAATTTGGAATGCCCACAGATTCTTATTTCCAGATCTTCTTCTATGTATATTTTTTCATATATACCTATATAATTTTCACATTTCACAAAATTCCTTCATGGTGAATTTTTAGCCTGTTAGTTTTCATTTTTAGTGTAAAGTTGCATACATTGCCATAACATTTATTTTGGGCGCTAATAAAATGCAAATCAATAAAGACTAGTCCACCAGAAGATTTATATAAAAATACAACATATGATATATATTTTTAGACTTTTCCTTTCAGACAAATTATTAAAATAACCTTTCCTCAAAAATATTTTTTTCCAAAGCATATACACTAAATAAATCTTATTGACCTTTATGGAAAGAATGGAGGCACATTCTGATGCAAATAAAATCTTTTATTATTCCAGGTTTCAGTGTTAAGGAACAGACATATTATTGAAGCTAAACTAATAGTAATCAGTGTAAAACTAAAGCCTGGGCGGTCAGTATGAAGATAGATTATAAAATAACATATGGATAAGGAGTAAGTTATATAGCCAGTAAATCTTTTTGGAGTTAGAGGAGTTTAATGCAGCACTTCACTAGACATTAATTCCAAGATTTTGTTTATCAAGAATATATTCTATTACTATAGTAGTTTCTGCACTGTTAAGCAGCTGATAATATTTTTCACTTGATTCTTTCCAATAAAATTAGTATTGTTACTCTGCTTTTGAAATATTTTTATTTAGTTTTTGCAGCCATTCCATTGTGTGCTTTTTGTCAGCTGTTGTAAGCCAAGTTTCACGCTTCAGGTCTTTAGATAATATCATCTTATTGAGAATTTTGCAGAAGGATTTTCTTGTTTTCTCAGTGGCACAGCTAAAACCAGTGAGTGGAAAATTTTCTCAGATTGGTTTTTGAAGATACTAAATAAATCCTGTATAAATGTAACAGAAAGCTGCTTTTTTTTTTCTTTTCTGTTGTAAGCTTTGAACACAAAGTGAGGGTCATATTGATTGGAATATCACCAAAGAAGGCTAAGCCTCAGCAAGAGTCTTCCAGAAAATAAACTGAGATAGAATTGCATGTAATACTCTAGCATTTGACACATTAAACTAAACTGAGTTTGTAGCACGTTTTAAGAATAGTTTTCTTTGTTGCTCATTTGACCACTCGTTGCTCCTTCAGGAAGCAGACCAGGTTATAGAGGATGGTGATCATGACTGGAAGAGAATCAGGTGACCCATGAAAGTCCACCTTGGAGAACAGGATGCGTCTGTAGGATGACTGATTCTACTCTACACGTTTAGTTTTAAATGGGAATTCTACTTAGAAGAGGAAAAGTAAAAACATAAAAGAGCCCTCTGTACAACTTCTCTGTTGATGAATTACCTTCATTCCTTCTTTCAAAGATTAGTTTTCTTTTAAGCTTTTGTTCAAGTGGCACACAATTCCAATATAAATTGAAAAATGAATTGGAATTGAAAGAGATTTGGCTCAAATTGGAAAGTTTTGCTGTTTTAAATTCTTGACCTCATGAAAAACAAGACAAAATACAACTGAAAGGGAACTAAAGATGAACTAATTTTATCAGAGGTGTGTGTAGATTTTTTTTTTTAATGAAAACATCTAAAACAGAAAAAAAGCAGAAGTGATATAACTTTTTCTATTTCGTTTCTTCTTAGCAAACAATGCAAATCTAAACTAGTTCCTTCAATATTAACTACATTTATCCTTGGCTAATATGTTAAACAAAAGAAAAATAGAAGGCAGGTTTATTTCCAAGTGATAACTAAAATCAGACTTCTGTAGAGGGTCCTACTTCTGTGCTAGACTCTCTTAACTTGCAGTACATCTTTACTAGGAAAGCTTGTGTTTGTGCTGCAGTGTCCGTGTAGTGGTGCAAGTGTAAGCAGCCTGTGACAGATATTCTGTCTAGCCTAGGTAAAAAACTGAACTCAAGTCAGTGTTTTTACTATTAGATTAGCAATCTAATAAAATTATTATTTTTTCCTTGTGCTGCATGCTCTTTAGCTGAATTTTTAACAGAGGTTGTATTTCACAAATTAAATGCAGTCCCTTTGGGAGTTCTTTTAAGGCACCATTTAAAATATCATAGTGAGCGTTGGGTTCCTCTGCTCTTGGGCTGAGCTCAAATGAGTGGTTTGTAACTTATTAGGTGTCTTGTAGTCAGTCGGCTCTGACTAATAGAATTTGGGTTTAGAGTTTGGTTTCGTTCAGTGTATAAGATCTCTTATTAAATTTTAGATCAACAGGAGAATTGGTTCTGTAACAAGGGCTTATATTTATAATAGCATGTAGTGGAATTCTTAAGCCTCAGTCTTTATTAAGTATACATTGACAAATACCTTCACTTTATAAACTGTAATTGGGATTTTAAGATATATTTTTATTCTTTAGATTGAAGTTAGAGTTCAATATCATATAAATATTTATACTGCATATCTACTTCTGTTCCATTATATTATGCTATATTCACTTTTTCACTGTTTTTCTTTATCAGGTTTGCTTCTGCAGGAGATGATGGAATTGTATATCTGTGGAACGCACAGGTTCGTTTGTTTTCTGAATAGGTTGTGTGCTCTAAGAGAGAGACCAAGCAGGAGCGAGTGAAAACTTCCTCTAGCTAAAAGGCAGAATAAATAAGAATTGCTGCGTGGATTCCTAGCAGCTCTTGTTTGCATAACGTAAAACCAGATTGTGTCAGTCCAATTTTAACTTACTGAAAAACCTTGGCAGATAAAACTTGTGTTGTGAACTGAAGAGAATGATATTTATATTGATATATAGATAAATATTTAATTAGAGTGCTTTGGGAGTCTATAGTGACTTTACAGAAATCAGAGGTGAAATGCTGACATAAAAAACAGAATGTGTATCAATTTATGACTTTAAATCTTCCTGTAAAATATGTTCAATGTTTGCTGTAAACACTAAAATGCTGACTTCTGACCCCACAGGTATGTAGCCAGTTGCAGGTCTCCAGTAGCTACTTTTATTTTAACTATATTTTAAGTAGCTACTTTTATTTTAACTATGTTTTACTAACTGTATTTAGAATGACTATTTACAGTGTAATTGATTACTCCTGGTGGGGAGCTAACACAAAACTATACTGGAAATGCACCAAAGTCAGTGAAAGTTGGGTGTTTCATGTAGTGCCTTGCTTGCTACGATAAAAACTCTATTTCATCTTTGGAAAGCCTTTTAAGATGTTATATTTATGATGGAGATAGAGCTCTGTGAGTGGTATCGTTCGTTCTGCTGCCCTGCTTTATCTCCGTATCTTTGAGAAAATTATAGAGAAGAGTGGTAAACCTGCGTTTAGGAGGCTCTGTATGCAAAGTAGGTGTTAAATAGAAGTCTATAAGGGAGCTGGAGTGTGCTGTCTAAACTGGACATACCAAAAATTCTAGTTGAGTAAGTGAGAAATACCAAACTGTAAACAGTTAAGGAAACGTTAAAAAAAGACATTTGTGATGATTTAAAATGTAGAGGGAGAACTTAGAACATTTCTTCCTTCTCTTTAGCTTTTTACTGTTGTTGAACTTAAAATTTTAGCCTTCTTGTTTGAAAAAGGAAGTTATTTTTAGTGTTCAAACACATGTATGCGTGTATATATACTTGGTCTTCTAAGCAGTTCATGAACGTAAAACTAATTTAGATGTCCATTTTGGGAATAGAATTTCATTTTCTACCTCTGTGGGATTCTTGCTACCTTTTTGCTAAAGCAAATCTTCCTTTTTTAATTCAAAAAATATTAATCTAGAAGTGTAAAGAGGTACACAGTTGTAACTACTCAGCATTTTAGTTGCATGTTTGAAAGAACCAGTGTATTTCTGCATATTTTTTTTTTCAGGTTTTGCCTAAGCAAACAGAGCAGTAGTAGTCAAATTATCTAGACCACCATCTTGAAGCCGTAGATAATGTTCATTGAAAATAAAGCTGTCAGGAAGTTGGCAGTGTTTGCTGTGAAGATAGTTCAAGTTTTTCAAATCACTAAAATAAAACCAGGTTTATTCAGGAGAGGATTTGTTAGCAATTCACAATTGCTATGATACCAGGTGAGTAGGCCTAATGGCCAATAATTATATTGAAGTGAATTTAATATCCAATTATAATCCTTAGATTTGCTAGAGATTCTTTTATTTACACCTAGAGTGACACACTTACTTACAGCGAGCACATTAGAATCTTACTTTAGAATGTGAAATTCTAGACTTTTAGAATTTTTTTCTTTTTGAAAGAAATTGGTATCTATGTCAAATCTCTATCTATGCAGTTGGTATATTCCGGATTTTAACCTTCATTTTTTTCATGTGTTTATTTTTCAGACTGGAGAGAAACTTTTTGAACTACATGGGCATACACACAAAATTACAGCTATTGCACCATTTTTTTCATCAGATGCTTTTGGAGAAAATGAACAATTGATGTTAACAGCATCAGCTGACAGAACAGTTATTGTATCCTTAGATATGGAAAGAGTTCAGCTCTTATTTATTTATTTATATAAGTTTTTGGTTGAAGGTAGCAAGATAGCAGTGATGGTTGTAGACTGTTTAAGTTTATTGGATAGTAATATCCAATAGATACAACTGGATTACACTAGGGTTTTATTAGGCCTTGCTCACAAGTACATGCAGTCTCTATTGTGAAAATCTATAACAAACCATTATGAATAAGTCATTTTTGTCAAATACTGGGAAGAGGACCAAGATTTAGAAGACTGTCTCTCTCTGTGCTTATTTCTGAATCTGTCGTTTAGTTACAAATGTAACAGTTGTATTTATAATATAAATAATCCTTCTTGGTTTCCTTAGTGAATGAAGTCAGGCTTGGGACTGCAGTAGTGGCAAACAGATTCAGAAAGTGTCGTGTTTCCATTCTACTGTAAAGGTAAGCAGAGAAACTCTAGGACTGTTTTCTGTGTACATGTTATATATGACATCTTATATGCCATGGTGGGGAGTGTTAAAAGAACAGCAGTGCTCAGTTTATTCAAGAACACATAACCTTTAAATGGAAGATTGACTGAAAAGCAGACGTGATTCTTAAAATATATTTTTATGAAACTGAATATATCAATTTGTTTTTTGGAGGTTATAGAGAAAAGGTTTTACAGCTTTGTTACTGTTTTGGAAAGATAATGAGTCAAGCTCATTCTTGAATAATAATAGTATAGAGAAATCAGTGAAAGTTTGAGTTTGGATTGTTGATTGAAAATGGTACTACGTAACATAAGGTGTAGCACATTTTTGTTCTGTATTTCTCAGGCAAGTGATACTTTAAGACTACAACATTAAAGCCTTAGCTGGCTGAAGCTGATGATCATTTTACTGAAAAATTCCCCATAGAACTTTTGCAGGGGACATATATCTAATTTTTGTTCTGCAGTGTTTGACAGTTCTTCCAAGACTGGATGTATGGCTGTCTGCAGGGAGTGATCTGTGTGTTTGGAACCGAAAATTAGATCTCTTGTGTAAGACCAGTCATCTTACTGATGCAGGTAAAAATGTAAATGACTCATTATAGCCATTAAAGTGCAAGTAAAATGGATCTGTATAATGATGCAAAACCAACTTGGCAAATTCTCTTTAATTCTAACGATAATGTTATATATTAAAGGCGCGCTCTATGTTTTTAAATGTCAAACTTCAAATTTAAGCTACTTTTGATCTCTTGTGCTGTGTGAGTTTTAGAATACATCACATCTCAGTAACTGTACATTAACTTGGATTGCAGGGCTCATCCTCAGTTAGTGATTTCTACACGTTCATGGTTATAGGGGTCAGATCCTTAGGGTGGCTTTCTCTCTGAGGGAGCCTGGGATGTTTCTTTTTTTAACTCCTTCAGTAAAGATCAGTGGTGGTAAGGCAGTAAAGCTTTCTTTTTATTATTGAAAGTCAATACATTTTGTATACAAAATGGACATGGTCATAGAAATATAATCTCCGTATTAATTATACTTTTCTAGTAATAAGCATATGTGTTATCCAGCCGTGCAAAGATTTTTTACTGCATCTTATTGTCATACTTAACAGAGACAATTGGGAAGCTGTGAATCCAATTCAAAGCTGGAGGCAGTGTTTTTCCAGAGCAGTGGTGAGCAAAACTGGAGCACTTCTGGTGCTGACAGTCCCCTTCTGTAGAGATCTTCTAAGCCCGCCTGGATGCCACCCCATGCAACCTGCTCTAGTGACCCTGCTTGAGCAGGGGGGTTGGACTACATGATCTCCAGAGGTCCCTTCCAACCTCACCATTCTGTGAAAAGTTTGTGAGACCCTCCAAATCGTTTGGGATACTGATACTTATTTTGGGATCATGTCAAATATGAGTTGTATGTGGTTTTGCAGTATTTAGCATGAGGTGCTATTGAAACTTTTGTGTAAGGATCTATATCATGGGCCCTTTCTTCCCTGTGCATCCCTTGCTTCCTTTGTGGGGAAAATGCACAGACTGCTTATTGCCTGGGAGATCTAGGCGTGGCGAAGGCCGAGTAACAACAAGGCTGGATATTTAAAAATTAAATCAAATTGTGCAGGGCCAGCTGAACCAAAATAGGCACACGATTAGCCTCTTGCATATTGGGGTAGTATTAGTGTATAAAAGCTTTGGTACTGTGTACGCAAAGAGTCTTGATAATTACCACAGTATTCTTAGTATTTTCCACCTGTAAAACATAAACATAAAACATAAGTATATTAGACTTACTAAATATAAAAAGATCATTGTTTCCCAATCTAACTTACCTGAAGCTTGGTGTTCAAATTCTGCTGGATCCTGAATCAGACTTTTCTCATTACCTCTGTCTGAGGTAATTTGTTCTTTTCTGATGCAATTTTACTTCCACTCCGTGTTTCACTCCGTTTTATTTTTTGCTATTACCTTATTTGTGGAAGGGGTATATGAATGAATGTGTGTGTGTGTGTGTGTGTGTATATATATATAAAAAAAAAAAATATATATGAATTGTTAGCTCACTATGATTTCCTTAGATCAGTGAATACCTTTTCTCTCTTATTTACTGTATTTTTACAAGGTATCAGTGCTTTGCTTGAATTGCCTAAAAACTGTGTTGCAGCAGCTGCTGGCAAAGAGCTAAGTAAGTATGTTGCATTTCTGTTAAACCTGCATGTTTTGTCATCGGCTGCCTCTCAGAGTGTGTGGGCAGACCCTGCTGCTGGAATTGCATAGCTGGAGTAGCTGGTGTCAGGTGTGATCAGCAGCCTCCTTCCCTTCTCCCCGCCTTGACCGGCCGGCAGAGCAGAGCATTTCCTCTGGGAGCTTCCTTGACATCTGCAGATGTCACAGACCCTTATGTGTTTTGTTACTACTGCTGTGCCAGCTGTCTAGGTCAGATTGTGGACACCTGCATTGCTCTTTCTGGAGAACATCTGGAGCTCATTGTCTGAGCTGTCAGATTATTTTCCCAGTTTGACCTTGCTCTTACGAAGCTTCCCTAGAGCATCCTCATCCCAAGGTCATGAGTGCAAGATGCTGCCAATGAAGTAACACCAAGAATATAGTGAGACACTGTGAGGCTTTCTCATGCTCACATGGGGAAGGGTTTTTCTAGATAGGCAAACTGTGAATACTTTACTAGGTGTCAGTGTAGAGGGTCTTTGAAAATGAGAGTATTTTTATGAAAACATTTAAAGATCAGCATATAGGAAACATTCTAGGAGGGTAAAATATACGCTGAGTTAACGAAATAACGTATTTTGCTTAATATGTTTAAATACTTAAATCTGGTGTTCAGATCCAACAATTGTGAGCAAAATAAAAAGAGATTTCTTATGTTTAGACTTTCATATTGAATATAAACCTTCATTTGAACTTTCCATGGTTCTTTCGTATTCCCCTAAAGTCTCCCTTTTTGCTTAAAAAATGCTCCAAGATTTGTTAAAATAATCTTTAATTCCTAATAATACATGAACCTTAATCCCAGTGGACTTAATCTAAAAACTAACGTGTTCTAATTAAACATAACTACTCTAAACATTTTTACTCTGAATGGTAAAACCTATTTAGACATTTTTTTCTGTCTCTCTCTGAAGTAATTTTCAGGCTCATCGATAGACCTGAAGGTTGGAATGTCCTCGAAGTCAAACGCCTCGATGACCATCAGGATAACATCTTGTCGTTGGTCAGTGTCAATGGTAAGACTGCAGGCTTCGTGTGGGGAGTTGTTGGTGGAGTATCTCAGCCTTGGTGTTTTTGTTGTCACCAGACCCGTAACTGGAATGAAACTTCCTGGCTGGTACATGGGCTTTCCTGTGTAGCTACAAAGACAGTGGAGTGTAAATGTGTAATGGCTTTGCCTGTGTATTAGTGGTGAGGTGAAACCAGGCAGATCATGATTTATACTGGCTCAAAAGAGGCAATGTCAGTGACAGAAATAGAACTGCAGCTGGACTTCCTGTTGGATCCCAAATTAATGTTTTGTTTGTTTGTTCATTTTGTTATCTGAAATATAATACAGACAGCCATGTCTCTCTGCAGCTGTAGTCCAAGCTCACCGAAAGTTCAGTGTCAGTGGATGTGGCCCTGCATGTACATGCACCCCGGAAGCTGATGAAGTCTGAAACCACCTCTTAGGGCACGACTGACCCTGAACCCTTTTAACATCTCCCGTGTCTGCCCTACTACAGGTTCCTCTTCTGCTTTGGGGTCTTCTCTTTCTTTGGAGCTTCCTGTGTGTTCAGGACAGGTTATATTTCCTGTGGAATGGAGAGAATACATCTGTTCTTGGCATTATTTTTTTTATATCAGCCAGGTTGCCAAAAGGACAGGGAGGACTGCTAGAAAGAAGGCTGCTGCTTCTTGGTAGTTCTGTGATAGTAGGTGTTGGGCTTTCCAGTGTTTCTGTTACTCTTGTTTAGATTACCAGAGTGACCTTGGTTTGAAAAGGCAACGTGCTGTCTGCTCTGTTGCTGGAACGGGTCCTTTCTGTGTGGGATTAATCAATTCACAGGAAGCTGCTTCAGTCCTGCCATTACCTCTCATGGCTTCTGGTCTGTGTTTCTGGCCATGCAAAGATGTGCTTTGTTGCATCCCAGAGCTGCTGACCTGCCTCCTGGTCCAAGGAACAGAACGGTTTTGCATGTGGGCAACAAGTGCACTTTACAGTACCTGTGTGTGGACCTGCTGGTGTTCCTCACCTTTGCCATGCCGTGTGTTCTGGCAGGTGAATATTCTCCTCGCTAGTTTGAATTCTGAAGCATAGAGAGAGAGACTTCGTTTTGCCAATTTAAGCTCTCAAATGAGCATTTCCCTCTCAAAGGGAGAAGGTTTTGTCCAGTTACATACTACACAGCCTAAATAGCTTCACTCTAAAATAGGCTCCCTTACTATAGTTTTCTAGAGCTCTATCATTATGTATGTGAAATGGATTCTTCCTATTCCTCATATACTTTCTGTGTGTTGCTTTTCTTCTAGATTTGACTTTTGTGACGGGTTCTCATGTGGGTGAATTAATAGTCTGGGATGCCCTGGATTGGACAAAGCAAGCAGCCGAGTGCAACTTTTGGGACTCCTCTCTCCACACCGATGCACAGCCAGAAATAAAGTTATCCCAAAGCCCAAATGAAACTTCAGTTCAACACTTAACATCTGATGAGGAGGTAAAAAGCTTTAAACGGAGACTACTCTGACCAAACCTGCATGACCTAATGGTAAAAGGCTGAGTGTTTTCACTTTGTATTTTCAGTTTGGTTGTGGTGGTAACTGATGTGCGTAACTGTTTTAATACAGTCAGGGATTTTTACTTAAAGTTCTGGTCATTGAGCCAAATCCAGGTTATAATATGTTGATGGTCTGAGAACTAACGTAATGGACTGATTTGCTTTGACTGATAAAAGAAGTTATATCACTTGTTTGGAGTACCCCAGGAAAAATATTAGCAAGAGGTGTGTGTTTTGATAGCATCCGGCTTTCGTGTTCCATGTTTCTGGAATTGCAGTTTCCAAAATATGCCCCTCTTGGATAGTTACAGCTGAGGGCACTATAAAATGAATCAAACAGTAGGCATATTTACAGTCAGCACAGCAGTAAATAAAAACTGGCACTTCTGTTGAGACGGCCTCAAGCAGTGCACTTAAATGTAAAGAGCATAAAGATGGGCCCGAAACGCCGGCTCTGCTGGAATCGTCGCTTGGAGCACTGTAGCTTGGGCTCAGTACCGAGGCAGACCCCAGTCACTGTTCTGGAAACGTTGGGACTCCTCAAGTTATTTACTCTGTGAAATGTAACCTGCTGTTGGTGCTGGGAAGATGCTTTGCTGCTGGGGTACAGTGAGAATCTGTTCAGGGGCCTTTAGGTGCATTGCTGGGGAATGATTAAGAGATTCCTGGGAATACGGTGATGGGAGCAACGTACTGAGAAGGAGCGCTGAGGAGTGCGGCCGCTGCCCTTGTAGGTGGTTTTGTGCTGACCTGTGAAGATCCACGTGCAACTCATGCTTCAGCACCTGCTGTTTTCTAAGGGGTTGAGAAAAGCTGGGCTTTGACAGATTGTGTAAATGAGAGTGTAACCTGTGAAGTGCACCTCTTGCAGAACAGTTGTGCTCTGTAGAACTTAGCCTGTCTCAAGGTGGAAGGTAGAAGGGCTGACGTCTGATCGATTGATTGATGTTTGATTGAACTGACCCTCACACAAAAATTGGGAAAAGAATAAAACAGGTTTACTGTTTTTTCCCTTTGCTGATGGAGTGATATTTGAAATCTAAGCTGAATTTCAGAGCTATCACAGCTCCCATCACAGATGTACGTAAGAAATGAGAACTTGGACAAAGAGAGTTGATCCAGTGTCTGTCAAAACGCTGCTGATTACACAAAGGGAGTTCAGCCCAAAAGACAGGATTAGTCAACACGGGTTCTACTGAGCACTGAGAAGTGCGTAGTGTGAACTGCTTAGGAGCCATTAGTACTGGAGCTGAACAGATGGAAGCAGGGACATTCAGGGAAAAGATCCAGCATGTAATCACCCAAACAAGGTATGTCCAAAAAAAACCCCACCAAAATGTAGCAAATGGGAGTGTTTTGAACTCCGGTATTTAGTACAAAATGTAGATCATGTACACTGATGGTAGAGTATTGTTTTATTATGGGAATATAGATATTACTTGCAGAAACTGATTTTTTGCTATTCTGAGTTTACTCTTAGCTACAGGGAAGAATGCAAAGACAGAACAACTGTGTGGAGTGTAACAGAGTACCTGTTGGTTCCTGAGCATCCATGCTTTTCCTATAGCCTGCTGTTCCCCTGTGTGTGGGTAAAGCAGTAGCAGAGAAGGATGGCTAGGTGACATCCCGTAGCTCCACTGGAAATCTGTTACTAGCAGGGTCTGCTCAGTGTCTGGTTCCGTAAGTTGTTCCATTGAATTTGCTTTCCAGTGTGTGTTTGCTGCTGTTGGGAAAGGCATATTCGTATATAATCTTCAAATGAAGCGTGTGATTGCCTGCCAGAAAACTGCTCATGACTCCTCTGTGCTGCACATCGCCAAACTGCCAAACAGGTACAAGTTACGTTACCTTTTGTAATGCAGCAAAGAAACGCAGGGCTCGGAAGCGTGGGAGAGGTGGTCTGTGCAGAGCTGCAGGGCCTTGCTAGTGCTGGTCTTTAGTCTGATCTGCTTGTATTAGAGCTTGTTTAAGCTCATTTTTGTTGTAAATATTGTTAATGTGAAATAACATCATCTGGTGTGTCTGATGCAGACATTGAAAGTAAAGTAGTTTTCCTATTTTCCAAAATCAGGCTTAGTAAAACATTTTTGTCTACGCTATGAAAATACAGCTTAGTGGCATTTTACTTTTATAAAGCAACATTGATGGCAGATTCTTCAAATATTTTTCACTAAACGTTTCTGAACAGTCAAAATGTATTAACAGAAAATAATAACTCCCAGTCTTTTGTCGTCAGTGGCAGATTTCTGCCTGGAACTTATTTTTGGCAGCCAAGATACAAATTCATCAAAATACAATTGCCAACTTGCTATGTAAATAAAATCTAATGGTTGCAATGTTAGACTCCTTTATACTTAAAGTAGGATTGAAACCATTTATTTTCCCCAAGTCCATTATAATTTGTCATGCTACAAATGCAGCTTGTTTGATATGGAGAATCCAGGTACATTTTAAGAGCTGCAGTTGTGACGCTGGCGTTGGGTAGAGCCCGAGGCTCTCGCTGGGCTCCTGCAGAAACGGCCTGGGGTGAGCAGTGCTGGTGAGCACCCGTCTGAGCAGTGCTGCTTGTCCCCTCTTTTGGCAGGCAGCTCATGTCCTGCTCGGAGGACGGCAGCGTTCGCATTTGGGAGCTCCGGGAAAAGCCGCAGCTGCCGGCGGAGCCGGTTCCAACAGGTTGGCCCAGCGCGGGGCTCGTGGGACGTGTCTGAAGTGCAGGGAACTCGGTGCTGAGGGCTGCAAAGGCCTGCGGGCTTTCAGCAGAGCTCACGTGTTGTGTTGCCCCGCACGATGCAGGCCTGGCTGGGGGAATAAAGGGCGGTTGGGCGTACAAGCGCTCCGGGGCTGATGTGGAACCAGCTGTGCGCCATAAAGTGCATATGTTGTTTCTGGTTTCATCAGCTGCTCTAACAGCAATTTCTACCTTGCTCTACAAACCTGGGGCTGCTTTATACTGGTAGTGCCAGTGGCTAGAGCCACCCGTGACTGGGAACACGCGTGGGCTGTTGCACGCACTGAGATGTGTAAAGCTCCCTGGCTGCTCATCAGCTGGTAGTAACTTTTGCAGAGATCTTGGCCAATGTTAGTGTTTTTGCAAATCATGTTTTACTCCCGAGGTCTCACTGACTCCCCTCTGTAATTACTCATCTCTGGTGTCTTGCCTGCACTGGGGCTGTGGTTTGTGTGCTGGAAAAAGGGGTGAAGGCAGCAGGAAGCTCCGGGGTGCCCTGTGTCCTGCTCACAGCCTCCCACTGCTCTGGCTGTTGTCACCCTACTCTTGCGCAGGGGGCCTGGGCGCTGACGTGTCCAAGTCCCGCAGCCTTAGTGGCCCATTCAGGAGGTTGTTGTATTTACACTGCACACTGGGAGATGGTTTTAAATCTGAAAGTCAGGGGGCTGCATAAAAACAAGGATTTGGCATCCAAAGCGTGTTACCTGTAAGCCAGCATTGAATTGCATTAGTGCAGGACACAGAGCGGGTGCCTTATTTTTGTCTTTGCACAAGCGAGAACCAGTGAGTTCAGGCAGACATCACTGCCTTGTAGCTACTTTTGCTGCTTTTTTTTTTTTTTTCATTTAGACAATTCCTGGCTTTCTTACTAAACTCATGTCTTGTGCCATCCATGTGGGTCATTTAACATGTTTGCCCTACTGTGTTTCGTAAGGACAAGGAGAAAAGAGCTAATTTTCCCTTGCCCCTTGGGATGAATAATCCAGCTGCAGAAGTGCTGCATAGTAAAATCTGCTGTCATTTTGCCATGCTGCCTATCCTGCTTTTTGAGTTAAGTGACTTTCATAGTTCTCTTTTTAGCTGGAGGAGAGAAGTTGTTTCAAAATCTCTATATATTCAAAATATTTCAAAAGAAAGGATCTACTTTTTCTTTTTTTTTTAATCCAGGTTTTTTCAGCATGTGGGGTTTTGGAAGGGCCAACAAGCAGGCAAGCCAAGCTGCTAAGAAGACACAGGAGAACACGACTCTGTACTTCTTGGAGCTGGTTGGTGATCTGATTGGTCATTCCTCAGCCGTGCAGGTAGGCAGCTTTATAAGAGCAAGCAAATGCGAGTAGCCCTGGGTGGTGTTGGTTTGGAAGCGTTTCTTCCCCAACAGCTCTAATTGTGACTTTGTGGCGCCGGAGGCTGCCAACATGTTTGTCACACTACAGAGCTGTGTGGGAGGCACCAGCTTCAGGCCCTGTTAAACTCACAAAAACTTAATGCCCAACAAGACCGCTTTGACAGCGTGCTCTAGTTAGTCCTATGTGAAAAGAAGAACGTAGACTTAGTCTCATTGAACTGAGCAGGGACTGATGCCTGAGGATTGTGTGCATGGACAAGATGTCAGTGCTGCAGAAAATCGGGTTGTGTACTGGCTTTTCCTGCAGGCTGCAGACGGTGTGTGCTGCAGTGCTGCACAGCTGCTCTGCAGCTGGGAATATTTCCGATGTTTGTTTCAGTCTGTGCATGTGTTCAGTCCAGCTGAAACCTGCACTTTAAGCAAGTTTGTTTGTCTGTTTCAGATGTTCCTGTATTTTGGTGAGCTAGGACTGGCGACGTGCTCTGCTGACCATCTTGTTATTTTGTGGAAAGATGGGGAACGGGAATCTAGACTCCGCAGTGTAACGTTGTTTCAGAAATTGGCACAAAATGGTGGTTCGGAAATCAAATTCTAAGTTACTTGAATACAGGGTAAATAAACTGGATCTGCAGGGTAAATAAACTGGATCTGCATTAAATGTGAGTGTAAAGCAAAGTCTGAACTACTAGAAAATGGCTATCATTAAAGTTTACATTTATGTTGTATGTTAAACTGGTATTTTTGTTAGTTGCTGCTATTCTTCTCAAAAGGAGAAATCTGTAATTTTTTAAATTACTTGGCTTTTTCTGTAAATAGACATGGTGTTCTCTTAAACCACTGAGGATAGTAATGACAAGTAGCTTCTAGTATTATTTCTAATGTTTAAAAACAGTGGATGATTATGGAAAATCAGAGTTGTTAACTGCCTAAGATGGAGCATAACTAAGGAACTTTGGGGGCCTTCCAGGGCTTTGTGCAGAAGGCAGGAATGGAAGCAAAGCTGAGGCTTCCTGCTTTATGTAATTTATTTCATAAAGCTAGGTGTTAGTCACCCAGACTTAGTTAGTCTGAGTTAGTTGCTCAGACTTAAATATCTACACAAAGAGTCTGTTCTCAGTAAGTTTTAATGTTGGCAATGGAAGTTGCTGTCCTCTGCTGAAGGAAACGTGGGCAATTTCTGGTTGGCAAGTTTTGGTAAAATGTAGATACTGGCAGTTTGCAGGAGCTGTAGTTTTGCTGTGGGTTGCTTATGTAGCACCATTGCTAGGTCTGGCATGAAGTGTGATTGGTTTAGCTTACTCTTTCTATAGAACATTCAGCTAATTAATTTGTTTTTAAAAGAAAAAAAAAAAAAAGAGATTGAGTTAAATTCCCCTCTGCTCTCTAACCAGGAAGGGTAACTCTGCTTTTAGGCTTGAACTCCAGGTAGCTGTAAGACTGACATAGTTTGAATTCAAGCCGATGGCAGCATTCCTCACGGTCTGTTACGTTAAGCAGGAGGGCTGCATGTCAAGTCCTGCAGCTGCAACAACGTTTTAGCTGCAAGCCCCTGTGCAGCAGCAAGCAGGGCATTTGTGCATCTCTCTGGAGATACAGCCTCAGGGAGACCTGTTCTCTCTGGCTCTTCCCTCTTGTTGCAAGTGAGAAATAACTGTTGAGTTGTATATGAAGCGTGTGTGTGTGTGTGTGTGTGTGTGTGTGTGTGTGTGTGTGTGTGTGTGTGTGTGTGTGTGCGCGTGGGTGTTGTTGCTACAGCTTTACAGAGAAAGTTTCTAAAACACTTTTTTTTTTCTGGAGATGCTATCATTGATTATAGCTAGAGAGAAGGAACATTATCTTTTTATTATCTGTTCTTCCTGTACCATGAAAAACAACTATTTCATTTTTATGTGAGTGCTTTTAAGTGAATACCTGGTAGAGAAACAGATCTATTCACAAAACTCATTGTGCATTTTACAGGGATGTAATTCAGCCTTAAATATTCCTACATGCTTAAAATATATTTACATCTATCCAAAGAGCCGTTGTTCTTAGATACACTCGGTTGGCAACAGATCTCCCAAGGGGCTCTTTCTTTAAGCATTGTTGAGTTAGAAGTATTAAACCGAATAAAGAAGTTTTACACATGAACTTTGAGTATAACAATGACAACACTAAGGCTATAATAACTAACTCACTTTAAATAAGAAACTTTTTCATTTGCTGTAGAGAAGTTCAGTGAGCAGAATTAGAGTGACCAGGTTGGAAGTGTCCAGTGTCCTTTTAGATTTTATTTTTCAGCTTGTAATACATTTCCATATCTTCAGCTCACAAAGGTAAGTCTCACGCTTATCCTTAGTGTTTTAATGCCTGCAGTGAAAATGGCAGGAAACAGTGAGTCAAGTAGGCAGGCTGGAGCCCTGAAAACCTGGCAAGAACTTGGACACGAAAATTAATCTGTGCTGATTTTTCCAATCTTAAAGAAGCTTGGACTACGTTAAGACATTGGTTTTGCTTAGTCTTTGTTTGGAGGAAGAAACAGGAGAATCTCACACAAATACAATGATTACATGTTAAAGCCTTAACTCGTGAACCAGAACTGAGGCTGAACTTTATTTCTTAGGTTCCTTCCACCAGTAACATTTCCCTTTGTGTGTTAGAGCTGTGACAAACTAACAAACCAAAGTGCTTTACATGGTTGTGGTCTTACATTGATGCTGTACTTAACAAATTAAATGAAGATGACAAAGCTTTGAAAGTTGATGAAATTCTTTTCTCTAATGCAAGCTGCAGCTAGAGTTCAATCGTGAGGATATTAGCGAGACAACCATTAAGAGCACTGGTTCTAAACAAATGAATGATAAAGACAAGCAGTTCATGGTACAAAAAAAAAAAAAAAAAAAGTGTTCCAATTTATCTAAATAAAAATCCATTGAAAAATGTTGGAATACATATTAAGAAATAATATAGGTACTTTACCAAAACCAGCATTCTTCAAATATACACAATGCAGCATTTTAATACACAGCAACCTGCCTTAGCTATGACAAAAGTAAGGTTCTATTACAAGTCTAACAAAAATATAGCTTATATACATTTCTCTGCACATACATTTTATGAATGTTTCATTTTTTTTCCCCAGGAATTTGGTACAAAACATAGAAAAAAGGTTGGCACATTATGTAAGCTACCTGCAGGAAAGAGCAGTCCCTGTCCCTTTTCTTCCACAGGCTTCTTCCTATGTCCGTTCTGTTTCTCTGCCTCGTTGTGCTCTTGCACAGCACAGGAGGTAACGGGGGCAGCGCGGGGCCTTTCCTTTCAATGAGGAATGAAGCAGCTCCTTAACTGAAGCCGCAGCTTTGACACTCTCACCTGCAGCCTGGAGTGCACAGTGTTAAAAATCAGCAGTTTTTCTAGGATTCAGTAACTGAAAAATCTGAGAGTAGTCTAAAATTTGAACTCATGTTCTGCATGTGATTAAAATGAGATGTACAAAAATATGCATTTGTGCTTTGGAAGCTTTAGCATAAATTTCATGTCTTAACGAAAACTATGTTCAGTTTCTACCTTATTTACATCTTTGAAATACTTTTTACATCACAAAACAAAACAGCATTTATTAGGAGGAAAAAAAAGCAGTAGAAATTATAATGCTGTTATATAATTTATAACCTGGAAACTCTTCTTAAAAAGCTGCAGGGTCATACTATAAGAAGCACAATATATGGCCTTGTCGTAAAATTTATTTTGAATAAAACTGACGTCCATGTGTATAAACACGGCTTTATAAAAAGGATGTTGATCGATTCATTGCCACAATAGTTTATATGTAAAATCTGACAAAACTTTGCACAGTAACATCTTTTAAGAAGGCAGATAAAAAATACAGATGGCACCAATTATAGAGAACATGTTTATTTTCTTCCATTATTTAAGTTAATTTGATTTCTAATACCAAGCTGTTATATGGAAAAGATAGAACAAGTGGTGCTTTGAAAGGTTTGTTTTGCCTCTGGAATAAAAAAGAAAAAGGATCTTAATGGTGCACATTTTTTGTAAGTATCTGATTTCTTGAGGTCTGCTGTGCATATTCTCTTTAGAACCACGGGCCCAAGATAATGCAGAGGGGGAGCAAAGTTTTGTTGGGAAAGTGGGAGGGTTTTATGCTTTTTTTAGTCGACCTATTCTTGTTCTACGGGTGAACAGATTACACTTCCACTTGGGAAATAGCTGTGTGAAGGGTTAGTGAATACAGCTGCAGCAGTTACGAGATTTGACTAATGCATATTCAGTAGTAAAAATTAGCTTTAAAAGTACCTTTTCTGCCAATAAATGACAGTTCCAGAGAGCTCTGACCCCCTGGTTGGGATTACATACCCTTTATGAAAACATCTTTGTTGTAGAATTTAAGCAGCTTAAAAGTGATGGGTAAAGGATTTCCTTCTTGCTGCAGTCTTTAGTTCGCTCGAAAGGAAAACACCGTTTCTCTTGTAGCCAAGTTAGTGATCACAGTGAGACTGGTAGAGCAAGAGATCAAGATACATCAAGAGCAGGGGTTTTTCTTGCCTTCATGTCAGTTGTTTTCTGATGGAAGCCTGAGACTCTTGCACTTCAACTCATCTAATGTTTTCCAGTGTTTATAGTTGTTAGCCAGGTGTTGCATCAGAACAGGCAGATGTGCAAATGCTGAAATGAACAGGGGGAAACAGTGGTGCTAATTGCACAGAGAATGGGCAGAACAACCGTGCAACCCGGCCTCGGCCTGATCCACGTTTTTCTCATAACTTCAGCTGTAAATTAATGCTAAAGGGAAAAATTCTATTTTTTTTCTGTTCCTTTTTAAACAAATTGCTTCCTTGAAATATGGTGACTATGACTTCTTCTAACACAAAACCACCATAATTGATTTTTCTTTGTTCAAAATACTTTGTTAAAGTAAAAAAATAGGTGAAACTTAGTTTTAAGCCACTGCCCCTTCCTTTACATAGACCATGTACCTGTGTAAGCACAGGTGAGAGGTTTGCACTGTGTACAGTGAAACCAGCCGCTACAGACTCACTGCTCGGGCTCCGTGACGCACCTTGAGTGCTCAGATTTACAATGTCTGCCCTACAGAGAAACGGACTAATCCCCACTTTGCAATAATTAATGTTATATTACAGAAATTTCTGCCTCAAAGTCAGGAAGAAAACAGCAGAACTACTTACCATCCCACGCATCGAACATATCTGTTATAAAATAGTCAATGAAGGAAATCTGAGACTTGGGTATGCTGCAGGTGTTTCTGTCAAATACTGGCATTACAACAGGCAGACCTTGCCTTTTCTCTTCATCAGTCTAAGAAAACAAAACGCCTGTTAGCCTCTAGAGCTCTGCTGGCTCTCACCCTAGAACAGCAAAAGGCCAAGGGCTTAGATGAATGACTCGGGACCAGGAGGAGCTCTGAGACAACACGGAGACCTCGCGAGGGAGCTGCTGTGGTTTCTGGTGCCCTGTTCTGCAGCAGGGACTGAAATGCTCCCTTGCACAAGTACCTCATGAGGGCAGTGCCAGGAGTGCTCCTGGCTCTGGTGAGACACCAAACCGTGCTCATGGTTAGGCCACAGTAGCTAAAAGGGACACTAGGATTATTTTGCACAACTTTAGCAGAGGGCAGATCAGAGCTCTCCTCCATCTCTGGTGGTTGTTCCAACCGATTTACTCAAGTGCGAGGGACGCTGCTGTCACTGCTTTCCCTGCTTGTTGGCTTGTGTCACATCAATGGGAGTCAGGCCCTGCCCTTTAACGCTGCGCCCACAACGGGGAGCAGGCTGATTTTGTTTCTCGTGCTCTCGGGGCCAGGGAGCAGGCCTAGTTTGGGCACTAGAGCACTCTCCAAAATTGCCAGATGAGGTGACTGAAGAGCAGGACAGATCTCAGCACCTTGTATTGCTCACACCAAAGACAGCCAAGTTAAAGGTAGCTCGTGATACCTTGACTGCTAGGGGGAGAGAACCTAAGGGACCTGTGGGCATTTTACCCAGAAAGTGAATCAACTAGAGGATATAGTCACTAGGACTAAAAGGAAATTCATACGTGTTCTAGGCCCCTTCTACTGCTATTTTCAGTAATGCCTGTTGCATTTGCAATCTAAATTTGGACAATAGGCATTTTCTGGACATGGGGCTGCAGTTGTACCTGCTAATTTCCACATCAGAGGGAAACAGACACTAAGAACCTGCCAGTTGTTAAAAGAACTGAAAGAGAATTAGCTTTTAGGAAATTAGTGCCTTTGTGCTGGCGAAACTGAATATTAAGAACAATTATTCAGTTCTGTGCTTAAGGATCCAGCTGATAAACACTGCCAGATCTCGGGCCTGCAGTGACACAGTTCAGGGGCCGACTTACAGGAGACAAGGCCGATGAGCGAGTCAAGGGGTTCACGAGGCACAAGCAGGATCCTCCCTCACCCTTTCTTTGGGGATGGTTTTGGGGCTAGAGCCTGTAGCAGTGACAAGCTTGAACTGTAGCCAATTAAATTGACTAATACTAGTCAAATATTTTTGTTTGACCACACAGAGTTAAAAACTGTAAAACCTCCTTTCCACCATTTGGTGCTGCAAACTCCAGGGTAAACTTAAACCAGCTTTGACTGACTAGAGTACATGCTGCATGAAAATGAGAGGCTGGTTCTGAGCGGGGAATAAGAACATGTTTGGACTTTGTAACAAGGCCAGGGAGATGTCATGTGAATAGCAGACTAGCTGACATGCGTCTTCCCAGTGAAAAACTACCCCTACCTGTGCAAAATATTCCTCCGAGATCCTCCCTGCCCATTCAATACACAGCTCTAGCGGGCGACAGGGGTTCGCCACGTCGGCACATTTGATCATCATGCGCTTGATGAGCGTCTGGTTATCCGGGAAGTTCTTGACGTTGGCCGTGCAGGCGCAGTGGCCACCCTCGCTCTGTAAGAGAAGCCGTGGGAAGGGTTGGTGGCCGGAGCCGGCGCGGTGGCTGCAGCGGCAGCCCGGCTGCTCTCACGCTCCCTGCGGCGGCTGCATTTTGCACGCAGGCCTGAACGCGCTCTCTGGCCTTAGGTGCGTCCTGGCCAAGCCGTGGGAGCTGCTGGAGTGCAGTAAAACACCGGAGCACTTGGTGCCTGCTCCGGAGAGCAGGCGCCGGAGCCCGCCAAGTGGCTGCCCATCTGCTGTGGCACCATCAAGCTCGGAAGGACACAGGTATATTACATTCCTTCCCCAGCAATAAAGAGCCTCCAACTCGGCACACTGTGGCATTAATACTATTTTCAAAATAATATATTTGTGTAATTATGGCTTCCCCTGGCTGCTAAGTTCAACTCTGAATCAAAAATTGCACATAAATACTTTTTACCGCCCCTGCTAAATTAATGCCTTTGTGGTTTATGGGGAGATATTTTGCAGTGACTCTTGCCAATTGGGGCATTAATCTTGTAACTTTATGTTTAACAGTTAATTTTTTTCAGCATGGGTAGCCCAGCAAAGAGCTGCCAAATTAGACCTGCCGTTTAACTGCTGCTCAAGATCAAAAATAGGAAGCGGCACCATTAACAGTAAGGAAGAGAACAAACTGCTAGTACGGGAAAAAAAAAAGAAAAAAAGTCTGTAATAGGAAAGACTTCGTGCTGCAGTTTTATTGCTCTCCAACTCTTGCACATTTTTTAAAATAACCTCGGCTATAAACTGGTAAAATAAAAAAAAACGAAATGCTTTCTATAGCTTAAACATGCTGATTTCAGGGCAGTATGTGGAGAACTTAAATGCATCTGAGCAACTGCTAGAGCAAATATGGTACTGGGATAAAAGGGACATTCCCAGCAATGCATTCAGAGCTTGGGAACACTCTGGTTGTGCATCCAAGTCCTACAGGACCCCTTTGAAAACAAAGCCTTGCAAAGTGGGAGAGGCAGGGAACGATTCAGAGCATGTCTGACCAGGAGGGTGAAACAAGCAGCTGCTGAGCAGCCAGGCCTCCTCCGGCACCAGGAGAGGGTGAAGGGCCCCGAGAAGCTCAGAGGCAGCCGGGCTCCGTGGCCCCGGCAGGTACAGCAGTTAATACCACACCAATGAAAATGACACTTCAGGTTGTCTTGGAAAGCCTCACCAACACCTGAAGGGGACACTTACGTGGGAGCTGTTCTCCTCGGATGCCATGGGCTTGTTGATGCTGTTCACAAATTTGTTCACGTGCTCAAAGTGCTTTGTCATCTCTGTGGCCAAAACCATGTCAATAATGGCCTGGCGCAACGGCCGATAGTGATTTCTAGAAAAGAAAAATATCTCTTGCTCACGAGCTTGCCAGAGAGAACTCTGTCCTCTCCTTGTCCCCTTCCAGAAAGCACCACAAAACACAGCGTGGGGGCTGCAGCCACACGAGCTTTAAGGAAGCTTCCTTAAATTTTAAGGACAGCCTGGGGCTGGAGGACTAGATCACTAGCCCTGAATTTCTGTACTGCCTTTATTCTGTTACTTTTACCTAAAGAGAAACAAATCCCTGAAGTCAATTAAAAATTGCAATTCTATTTCAAAATACTGTAATACCAGGGCAACTTCTCCAGGAATGGCCCCAACGCATTTCCATTGCGCTGCACGTTAGCTCTGAACTCTGCTTCAGGCTCAATGTTCTTCTAGAAACAGCAAGGCTGCTGGGGTAGATGTACCCACCAGCTGCTGGTGTCCGGCCACCCGCAGGCCTCGGGCACGCGCAGAGCCGCAGGTCGCTGCATCTCCCCCAGCAGCAGCGGGTGCAGCAGCGCCAGTGAAGCCGGGGCCACGCGCGGCCCCCGAGTGACCAGCGTGTCCCCAGAGCCACTGCCCGGCCCCTGCGACGAGGGGGCAGCGTGTCAGGTGCAGCCTTGAGGCTTCCAGTCGGGCCTGGCCGCTGTACCCCATGAAAGCAGCCGTATATGCTCCCAAACAGCAGCACACACGCTGTGCTACAAAATGCAGAGCATGAGGGGAAAAAAAAAAAAAAAAAAGCCTTTTTAAAACTACTTTCTGCGTAGGATTCTGGAAAGGTTGCATATTAATGTGCCTACTTAAAGAGCATCTTTGGTATTGGGGAATAGCTCTCAATCTGCATCAGACAAAAATCCTCAACAACTAATCCGCAGAGCCGCCCAGCCCTTCCCTTGTCCAGCAGACCCACCTATCAATATTCTTGAAAATGTTGCACTTGCTGTCTTTGGCTGTGAGCTGAAAGGCCAGCGCTGTGTGGTGGCTCTCCAGGACGGCAGTGTCGTTGTAAAGGACGGCCAATTCACTGCCGGCGTTGCACAGGAAGGAGTTGGTCCGTCCAGGGTGGTCTACATCATGAATGGTGGCAGCTATGAGTGCAGCCACCTCGTCCAAGTGATCGAGGCTTCCCTGTGGGAGAGAGAAAAATCATCATGTGTCACAAGAAGGGAAGAGAGGGATGGGAAGGGAGTGGGAAGAGAAGGGAAAAAGAAATACAATAAAATCTAATAATTTCCATGTACTTGTAGCCGTGCAAGTGTAGGGTCAAGTGCTGGGATCCTACCTCTCTGCAATCATTTTCCACTCACTGTGCACCAAGACCAGTTTCACTCGGGGCCCCAGCTATCCGCAGTCATGCTGCTGTCCTTCCACTTTGTGTGCGTGCCTGAGAGAGCCTCTGTTTCCTACAGAGCCTGTGCCTTTTGCAAAGCTTTATAAAGAACTGGCAGTTGTTGATCAAAGGATAAAAAAGAAGCATTTTTTCCTATTGTTGCCAGTTACAAGTATAAACTCCTTCCCCACAAGAACAAGCTCTTTAGAGAAGCTGAGCTGGCCTGTAGGAATCACAGGAAAAGGCTTCAAGAGTGGAGTAACTTTTTAAAGCCAGGACCATTTCTCAAGTAAATACCTGACTTTTGAATGATAAATCTGAAGTGGGAATACATAGATACCACAGCTGCAGGTGTTCAGGCTGGCACCAGAGTCAACACACCCAAACCCTTCCTTCCCCCAGACTGCAGTTATACCTTAACTCTCTCCTTGCCAAGGAAGAAGGCAGTAGCGTGCAGGACATCTGCTGCGTGCGTGGAGTTGTGGTAGGAGTTGGAGGAATGGTAGTTGGCTTCAATCATCTGCAGCCAGGCTCGCAGTGTGGCTTCTGAGCAGTTTAAAAACTCAGCCACCCCAAACCGAGCAAAAACTTTTAGGCCCAAATAAATTAACGGCCTAGAAAACAACAGCATAGAAGAAAACAATACCACCATTAAACACGAAGCTCCAAAGGATGATGCTTTTCAACAGATAAATCAATATCACCTTAAATGCATAACATTCCTCTTCAGGACACCTTCTAAACACACTTTTAAAAGACAAACAAACGAACAAAAACAACAACAAAAAAACATAAGCAATGGAAAAAAAATCTTTTATTCTGAACATTTGTAACCTCTAAAGAACTCAGAAAACAAGGTTATAAATTACTATCATTTACCATCATTATAGACATTATTATTATGTTTTGCAGAAATGACACAGTAGCAATATTGCGACTTTTTGGAGTCCATACTCCTAACCTTTAAAAATTTAAAGCTGGTCATACACAAAGTATACTGATATTTCTTGCAGGAGCTCTGAGCATTGGGTCACTTTCTTGTAAACTGTTCCAGCTTTAGCAGGACTGGATTTCTTTCTACAAACCAGACAGGGGTCTGTCATAGACAAGACAAGAAAAAAAAATTAAAAAAAGCCTGCTCAGACCAAGTGTGTGTTTGAGGGTTAGTGTCTGAAACTGAGCTTCAGAGTTCTCAAGTGGGAGCCAGCTACAACTTGCTACTTGCTGGCTACAACTCCTACAGGCCGGACTGAAACAAAGCGGCGCTTCCTGAATCCTTCTTTAATAAGGACGTGAGACAGAAGCGCCACCCTCACCACCTCCCTTCATTGTAGACTTCCAAATCTTGGTCTTTCTAGGCCTTTTAACCGGTTTGTCCTCCATCCCAATTTTTCAAGCTGCCATCAAAGTCACAGCTGCCCAAAGCTGCTTAAATCCCGGGGCTGAAGTGAGCACCTCGTGTTCTCCAGCAAGTCTAATCGAGTGGCCGCAGAGAGCAGGGACCTGTGCAACACCCGAGCGTAACAACACCAGCCTGAGCTGAACAGCAACACCCAGAGAGACAGATGGGCTACAGAGAGCCCAAACTCAGCAGGAAACAATTCCGAAGGGCTGTGGAAGCTGTCAGGAAAGACAACAGCCGTCAGTGCCTGGGCAATGTGCCTGGCTTGCTGAGAGGGACAATTAATACCAACACACAAAGGCACACACAAAAGGAAGATGCTCTCACACGTTGGCTATATCTTGCTTCAGTTCTCCAGAGCAAAGCACTTTCTGCCACAGAGCCTTGTTACAGGCACCCAGGAAAAGGGATCCAGTACCTTTTGTTTGTAACAGCCTCTAATTCAAAAATATTGAAGTCCCAGCTTTCTTCATTATCCAGGAGCTGTGTGATACAAGGTGGAACATCGTTGATGGTAACTGGCACTGAAAGGTGACTATGGCTCAGGTTCATATCTGTTGAAATGGAATGTGAATTACAACACTTCTGGATTTTATTTCACAACTAGAATTCAACTTAGAAAACAACTCTCTATTTTTCTAGACAAACTAGATGGAAAAGTCTGTAAAAGCCTATGGCATCTATGGTTCATATTATGTGGGCATATATCAAAAAGAACAAACAAATTGTTCATCCATTTGGTGGGAATTTGGCTTTTTTTTTTTTTTTTTTTTTTGGCTTTCTGCACTTTAAAATGTATTATTTTAATTACTTCAACTAGCTTTAAGTCCAAAATAGACACAGTCCAGCACTTGTTCTACAGTCACTTAGACAACCGTTTCCAAAGACTTATGCCACCCTTCACATATTAGCATCATTCTCCTCTTCAAATTAAGTAACACTAGTAAAGGGAAGTTTAAGAAGACAGCTTACTCTTAGAAAACACATACTCGTTTCCTGACAGTCTTCTCAAGCCATCCTGAAACAAGCAAGATGTGAGTTTAGACAGACACGGGACACCTGCATGATGGCACACGACACGTATTCTCTTTAGGCACCGGGTACTGAGAGCATGGCTGCTAATGCTGCCTTTTGAGGTCTTCTGCCACGCAGACAGAACGACCCAACAAGGAGGCTGTAAAGCTCAGTTCTGTCTTCTCTCATTTGGCAAGTTTGACAGAAGTGATAACTGCTTTCATCTGGACTCTAGAAAAGAGATCTGATATTGTGCACAGCGTACTGTTCAGTGTCTGTACCTTGCTCCTTTTGTTGGTATCTGCAGGACATCATCATTCATATTAACCAATACAATTTATTTTTCATTTTCTTGCTATTATTTTGGCAAGGAAACAAAACAAGGCAATCTATGATAAAATCTAACAGTCTCTCTTGGTAAGGCAGTATTGCTGATGCCAGGAAACTAAAGTTAGAGCCTGATAAAAGTAAAACTCAATTTTACTGTTGTCAGCTAGTTCTTGGGTATCTCTCTACTGCATCATCTAAAAAGTATCTCCTTCAGACAAAGCAGATTAGATGATACGGTTTCTCATAGTACCCATGTTCACTTATATTTGAGGATGAAAGCAGCTAGTGGACTAAGACATACCCATAACACACCTTCCTATGTCTTGGTGCCTACACTTGGTAGAGAGGCCAAAATACTAAGCAGTGAAATTGTGATGAACTGCAACCTCTCCCTCCCATTGCTGGTGAACTTCTAGCCCAGAAAACCTCTGAACAGTGATGCAGGATACTCGTAGAGTAACTTAGTCTTTCCTCATTTTACTCACAGTCATCAGTCCTCCAACAAGATCACTTGTGTGAGGATCTTCATCTTTGGTACCTAGCTGTGGGGAGTAAAGTTCTGTTGTGCGCAAGATCTCCAGAACTCTGTCCAAGGCCTCTGCTACTGTGATGGGGCTGTTTTCCTGGGCAGCATTAATTATATTAATAACCTGAAAGCAGATTAAGGAGATGGGTGAACAGGAGTGAAGTCTACTTTTATCTTACTACAAAATCAAACTGATGGTGAATTCTTTATGTTATGCTACTTTCCATTTAACAAATCCTATGTATTTCCCTCCAACCCCCTGAGTACGACTATGAAAATGTAAATTTATGCTTGATTCCTAGTTACCCAGCTGCTGTTTTTAACGAGCAAACTGCTATGAAGGGGCAAAATAAAGGAGGGTGCAAAATATCTTGATAGATATACAAACAACTGGCCATGTGACAGTCCTTCAACATAGGTAGGGCTATTGAAACCCAGTCAAGCAGCCCCTAGAGAATAAAAGGATTGTTGGACATGATTCAGGTATCTTGATATTGGATGTAAAGGCTTAACTTATTCAACATGGAAAGGAAGGGCAGAGAGCAGCAACAACTGGACTATGGTTGAGGCTCTTCTGTCGTTCACAAGGCATCTACAGACCTCCCTGAAGGTTTGTGAAGATATTGGGAGTGAAAGAAAAGGAAAGGAACCAGTTGCTCCATCAGACAGATTTGCGCTTGGAGGAAAAGGGCTCAATATGATGGAAAAGGAAAATTGAGAGAATGGAAAAATGGCATGAGGGTGGAAGATTGAGTGAACAGCTGTTTGAAACAGCAGAATTTGGATAAAACACATGGAAAAGAACAAGCACTGGAAAGCGGATGACAGGATGTGGAATGATTAATAGTAGAGACTGCTGGAAGTAAATGTCCTCCTGCACAGGCAGAGCCCAACAGAGTAGCGGCCTCTTCCTGCCACAAGCAGCACAGCTGAACAAACACAGCAAGGCCACTCTTCCTGCTTGTGTCTATGGCTAGCAATGAGATGCATAAAGTTGCAAGTAAGAAAGAAAAACAAGACAGATATGACAGATATTATGTCAGATAAAAGGTGCAGTATATATAAATCCTTTGACTGTAAATACTGCCATTAATTACATGTTTCCCTATAACAGCAACTCTAAGCTCTGAGTTTGTGAAGCAAGCAATGCTCAGGACCCACCTTTGTGATAGGAGCTTCTATAGTCATCGAGTGGATCCTTGCCATCGATGAGTACCGGCGAGTTTGCAAACTCGGGGCTGCCATTGAAAAGAGCACTGTTGACATGCTGCAGAGTGCAAACCATATGATGCTATCTAGGGTGTGCCAAACTGCCATTAGGGAACAGCACGACAAAATCCAAGCTTGTCTGCCGTTTCTCCATCTCCTCTTCTCCCACTCTTCACTATTTAATTTCTCACAACAGTACTTATCTCCTTTGTAGCCACCTCCCACTTCCACTGACTGTCGGATACATCCTTTGCTCCATCATGTCCAACAGGTGCCACTGTCTGTTTGCAAGCAGATCCCTGCATGCCATGGCTTCTCCTGTGCCACTGCGTGCCAATCTCACCCCATTGATGGCAGCTGCTCTGCTGAAATCCATCACTGCTTCCTGTGAGCACTGTATACCTCAGCAGAAAGACATCTCTGCCACCACCATCCCAACCTGGCAGCCAGGCACAAATGGGAGCAGGAGCAGAAGTGCTGTTCTCAGGTAACCAACAGAAATAGATTCCTTCATGTCCCACTCTCTAATGAAATTAAAATACTATTTATGGAGCACTCTTTATGAACTACTCTACTTTGTAAAGGCACCATGCACTGCCGTGCATCTACACGGATGCTCATGATGGGGCAATGATTTATGATTCAGAATAAAGAGATTTTTAAGAAGTTACAAGAAATTAGAGAAACCTCTGCTTAATCAGCTGTAGATCTGTCTAGCTCCTCTTTCATTCTGCATTTCTATTGCATAGGGCAATAACATTCTTTATTTCTAACCTTCGTTTTCATAGGATTCTACTTTCTTACCGTCACTACTTTGAGATGTTATTGACTTAACATCAATCGAGTCTTTTCTCCTGTTCTTGCATCTGAAGGAATGGGATTCTGCAAGTACAAAACAGAAAAATATTTAAAAATGTGCCTGTAGGAAATACTTCTACATTCTCTTCCATCCTAATAATTACAAAGATTAAATGACCTCAACAATATCACATAAGAAGGGGAATATTGTAATGACTACACTTCAGAACAAGAGATATAAACACTGCGCCTGCCAACTTACAGTAACTTGTCTAAAGTCACCTGGGAAGTGGTTTATTAGGAAAAGCAAGACAATCTGCTGAATAGTGGACTCACTTCACCTAACTTTAGTTGTCTAACAGCAGCAGGCTTTCAGATTGTCTTGGTTTAAAGCGTTATCAAAGATGCCTCTAAAATAATGGGGACAGACTGGGGCATAACCAGAGATCAGTTCAGTCTGCTTTAGGAGGTCTGTCTCAAGTAGGTGGGTTAAGACACCTCCTGCAAGTTCCTTTTACTCTGCACTGACCATTGAACAAGTCTAAATCTTCAGGATTAGGTACCTTTGGCTGCCTAGGAATTTAGCCAAGTGAGAAAAATCCCACCTTGTTGCATACACTTCCAGCCCAAGTACAAGAACTCTCTGGGTATGAAGGGGCTGGAATAGCTTTTGTTTTTCACTTCAGTAATTATTTGTACCCTGAGTTTAAGGGAAAAAAATAGAGTTATAAACAATCTGCTTAGTTACTAATAAAATTAACTGCACACCAAACTGTCATTCTTGAAACTGCCATTTGGTTAAGCAAGAGAATTCATCACATCCAGACAAATGCAAAAGCCAGATAAAACTTACTCATACAAACGCCTGGCTAGATTCCCAATAAATAAATTTAAAATTTCTCTAAACTTTAGAGTCTGCACACTCTCTTGTGTTTATAAGAACAACTATCCCAGATATCTCTTGCAAAGATACACATCTCTCTGCAAAGTCTCTAAAGTACAGACTACCTGAAATGTCGCTCAGATATCAGGGACAGAAAATTTTCAAAAAGAAATTCAAATGGAGTATTATGTGAAAGGTCAGAATTATCATAAATTGATATTCTCCACATAAATGCAGAAATCTAGGTTACAAGATAGAATTTATGTGGTGTGTCCTTAACAAAATTAAATTTCATCCAATGCTCCAGAGTTTAAAATATATCAAGTTTAAAAGTGGTTGAAATGTAGTTTCTATGTTAAGGATTACTTTTTAACCAAAATTTTACAAGTAGGTTTGAGTCTTCTTGTTTTGCTTTAGACCATATTGGAGAAACTGAAAGCACTTTCTTCTGCTGTACTTCTGGTGCCTGTTGCAAACACCACTTAGATTTATTCATCCAAGTGCTAGGCATACTTAATGCACATTATTTTATTGTTTTATTAATTTATTTGGTAGCTCTTCTCTTTTAAACTCCTTCTCTGTGTCAGCATACGCAAGAGTTTAGCACAAGGCACTTGAGGGAGCCTGACCCTTGCACATAAGCACAGCTGCAGGGTGGCAGCAGACGGGATATTCGTTGGGTGTTAAACAAACACCAACCCGTGAGCTGGAAGCTTCGCTACTGCCGCCCAGAGAGCCACATAAAAGCTGCTCTATGCCAGGCTGCAGCTTTAGATGCAGATTTCTCTTCAAAACTTTGGTAAAAAGGTACCCTTCTCCTGGCGAGTACATCTCCCCACCCAGATGTGCTGTGAAACACACTGTTGCAAACAGCAGGATCATTGTGCTACCCCCACAGCACGTACTGCCAGATGCCTTCAGCTGCTTCTAGGCATTCCTTTTGGCAATACCACAGCCAGGGGACTTCAGTGAGAGCTGTCCTTTTCCAGTGTACCACAGTCATCGACATGACTTCAAGTCACGCGTTTGCCCGCTCTTCCTGAAATCTGTCACAGGAACAAGTGACTCTAAATGCCTCAATCTGCAGAAGTCATCAGTGAACTAATAACAATTCTGTTCCAGTGCTCTGCAACTTGATTCTCTGGCATTTCTACCTTCCCCTGTCTTCAGACTCCATATCCAGGATAGAAACAGTGAGAAAGAAGAACAGCAATTATCACAGGAACAAGTAAAGAGTCCAGCTCAGCATGGATCAGTTCTATTGGCAATGAAAGTAAGGAGAATAGCAAACTGCACACATTGTCTCTCCCCTGGTCCCCACTTTTGTGGGGTTCCCTGGTTCCCATACTTTTGTACCACTAAACTCTCCAATGTTCCTACATACTCTTATGCTACTTAATTTAAAAAGCAGGGGATATCAAGCTGTCACTTCCCCTGCTCTTCAATGTTATGTTTTTCCATGGGAAAGCCAGGAGCTGTCTGACAATGTGCTGCAATGTGCCCGCTGCTTGGGACCGGGAAGGACTTCAGGTGCTCGAGGTTAGCGGACATGAGAAACTGTTCACTCAGAGTCAGGCAGCAATGCTGCATCTTACATGCACCCAACTCATGGTGGCATCAGCCACAGGTCATCTTTTTTGACCACAGACCTGACTCAGCAGTGAAGAAACATTTCATACCGATAAAGACTTTGGCCACTGTTTCAAGCATGCATGTACATGAAGGTAAATGATAATATTCTGACCTGACTGAGAATTGTCCCCTGCATATTTCTCATCACGATGGCTCTTGTAGAGCTGAAGATCCATCAGGAGATAAAAAAAAATATGTAAGGAAAAAGAATACAACAAGATTTTGAAAGAACAAAATTCAACACCAACCGTATCTATTTTTATTTAAAGACAAAGTCTCCTCTTTAGGTGTAATTAGATGTAGATAACTAACATGAGAGTAAGCAAACATACAGTGCAGGAGGTCACAAATACCATAGTGCTTTTATGTGCTAGGCTCCTGCTTAATGCCTGTGTTTTCTCCTAGAAATGACATTCATTTTCAAATAACATTTTAAGGATAAATCCTAAATAAACCTGAAAGATTTCAGGAATAAAATGCAAAAAGACAAAAGATTCTAAAATGTCATTCATTCTTGTCCTTTGTGCAGCAATTCGAAAAGCATTTTCTTAACTGGAAAATTAAGAAAAACAGAAAAAAATCCATAAAACTTCAGAAAAACTCCTAAGCAACCGAAGGATAGAGATAGGTGTAAAACACCTCTCTTGCAGGAACTCTCCAAGAAATCATGTAGCTCAAACACTGTAAAACCAAGAAAGTTCATCATTTAGGGTACACGGACACATGGCATCTGAACTGCTCGCTCTGGTTCCAGAGTGGAGCTTATCTCAGAGAGCCTGGAAATTTCTCTCTCTCTCTCTCTCTCTCTCGTATGATTGACAGAAAACCTTGACTCATTCCTCTGAACTGCCAAATAAAAAAAAAAAAAAAGCAAACTTCATTCCTGCTTTGAATACTTCTCTTACCCCTTCAGGAGGCATGACCTGAAAAAGCCACATAAGGTAAGCTATGAGGGCAGTTACAAGGTTAAACTTCAACTGACATGTTCTTAAAAGGAGACACAGCACCTCTGCTATAAATTTATGAATGTGCAAACACTGGACTCGATCCTGCCAGATCCCAGTACACAAAGCAGTATTAATCATTACTTAGGCTTCAGTGCATGGAACTAGCCACATGAAAAGTCAATTCCCATTCATAAATCTTTCCTGCAGGAACACTTACATTGTCAGATGTATTTTCCATGCATAAATCTAACATGCTTATTTTTTTGTATGTGATAAATCTAGCACAGAAATCCATGAAAATTCCTACACAGCAATTTCTACCTGTACGGTGAGAACTCTCACAGAGGCTGTCAGTAATGACAAGGAACACGTCAACAGTATTTCATGTGAAATAATATATAATGATACAATGATGCTTGTAGGTCTACATACAGTGCCTGAATGTTGAATGCCAAGACACTTAGAATTACATTGACATGGTGAATGACAAATCCTTTGGATCAAAATTCAAATCATGGCAGCTTTTACTGCCGAGTAACTAAGTGGTCATCGATTTCCTCTAATCTGTCCATAAAGAATTATCTTTGGCTTGAAGAAAAACCTAGTAATTTTTAATGCAGAAAGAAGTTCTACTGCTACAAATACTTAGGCATGGTTTTAGGATTTAATTAAATATATGACTGCATTAGGGACTTAATTTCTCCCCCAAAAAAAAAATGTTTGGAGAAGAAGAAAAGAAAACCACATAAATTGTATTTGCTGCAAAAGATGCTTTTATAGATTTTGAAAAAGAAAAAGAATAAATAAATATTTAAGTTTTAGAAAAATGTAACACACTTTTGCTTTACTGCTAAAAATGTCCATATGGCTATAGAAAAGTAGTTACGAGTTTTATCACAAAGCACTATCTCTTTAAGATGTAATTAAATACAACGACTGTAATAACTGTCATGTATACAGCTCATCACACAATGGTATCATGATGACTGCAGAGATGTCCAGCGGAATTTTTCCAGCTTTATCCAAGGAGGAGCCGACACCAGAATCAACTCTAATTTCTGGGGGTATTTTTCAGAGCAAACCGCCTGGTATGACCACAAGTGCACTGTGGAGGCTGATGAAGCAGTCCTGGAGAAGAGCGTGCACAAGACAACCAAACCCGTGGCCACCAGCTACCCTTCTGAGATGGGTATTTCGGCTAAAGCCAGAAGGAGTGAGCGCTCTGGGAGCCGGCTTCGGGGGTCCAGGCAGGGACCTGGTGCCCTGCAGACGCAGCTGGCTGGTGAGCGCCGTGTCTGGCACATAAGGCCATGGAAGCCATTGTAATACAGAGAAAACCGTGAATTGACAGCACTGTGCTGTGGGATCACAAGCCAGGTGGATGTCCTATATGAGGCACGAATCTCGACAAATTAGGCTAGTATGAGTGTTCCCACTCAAGTGCTGTCAATCCATCACAGGTGAGAGAGGAAGAGGATGGCACCCTGAAAGCTTCACAAACTGTACCCCCAGCACCACCTGGACAGGACAGAACAGCTCTGCAAGATGCAGAAGTTTGGCACTATATGTTATGGAGGCTCCTAGCACGGCTAAGAGAGGCCTTCTGGCCACTGGAAGCTGCAGCCCAAATGCTGGCCTATCCATACCTGTGTGTGTTCCCTCACCTCAAAGGAAACCAAGCCAAGCCCAAGCTATTCACGCTCCACCGTGAGGACCAGTCCAGTGGTGCTCTGTCTCACCCTAAGCAATCTGCAGTGCCTGCAGCCACACTGACAACTTGCACAGCTGCTCTCTTATAGAGGATGTGGGAAGACACTTTTCAGGAATGTAGTGATATAAAACAGCAGGGCCTTCCTGTAAAAAACAGGATATAAAACAGCAATCCCTTCCTGCAGGGCCTGAGTGTGATTTCTGGGAGGGCTGCATGAATCGATGGGACAGGTCACCTGCTCTGAGACCAGACAACAGACGTGTGAGCAGTGGGCTGGCCTCCACTTGCGATCCTGATCTACTCCATCCTTGACAAAGTCTCATTTAACCTCGGTGCAGTTCATCTCCACTGCCTAAGGAGCAGGAGAAAAAGAAAAATGGCTCCATTTCAACAAAATCTATACCTGTGATTTTATCCTCCGCTGTCTCTACTGGAAAACTGACCGCTATCAATTGTCTGATCTCTCAGTCCCTAAAAACATTCCTCTCCGCATCACAAATGCAACTCCAAACATAACTCTTCCTTTCCCTGACAACTTTTCCAAGAGGATGGGGTACTATACTGGAATACTGTAGTATAGAAAATTACAGCTATAAGGTGTACCATCAAAATGACTGATTTAAATTTTATATCAGATTTTAAATCTCTGAAATTATATTAATTCCAGTGTCTCATTATATTCAAATCCCATAAATTATATTTATATTAATATTAATTCAATAATTGGCGATAATATCTGTCCATCAAGCTTTTTCTGGATTTTCAGTCTGTCTCACTAGCTGTTTCATCCAAAATTTAGTTAAGACATTTTTTTCACTTTGGTTGAATTACTGTTTGCCACCAGAGGGGGCAAAAATGCCGAGTCTGAAAATAGAACAGAACTAATCTCATCAAAGTATTACTGCTGCAAGAATAATTTTAAGCATTATGTATATAATATAGGTATTATTACGCATCACTAACACTAACCTATCTAAAATTAGAAAACAAAAGACAACAAAATCCTTCAAGACACTGTTAAAATTCTCTTTGCAGCAACACAGAATGTGATTCGCTACTATAAGCGGGAGAGACTTCCATTAGAAAAGCGAAGAAAATAATTATAGAGTGAGTTGTTCTGGATTTACCTTAATTTTATCACGAGGGACCTTAAATCTTAAATCTCCCCAGATTATACATTCTCTTGGGCTCTGATCTTTAATCTTTGTAGCTGACCCCTTCTTAGATCTCTAAGAGTTCAAAACCCTTCAAAGCTCATATTCTCTGGGCTCTCCAGAAGTGTAAGGATCCTCAGGCCTGCCTATAAACACAGTCCATCAGGGCTTTATTTACCAATAACCATTCACAGATCAATACTAAAATCGATAAATGAATAGAGGTAATAATATGAAGATTTTTAATCTGTTTTTCTACCCAATTTCCTAAGTAAAATATCATTCTTGAGCAAACTTGCTTTGACAGATCAATGAAGATGAATCGAAGATGAGAACATAAAACAAAGACACTTTTATCTATATTCCTACTGCTGCTTTTTACATATATGAATTGTTGTAATTACTTTGTACTGCTTATGTTTCATTACGAAAATCACATCTACACTTCCCTGAATCACTCTTTCAGATGGGTTTGTACTACAGAAAAAAATTATTACCAAACATCTCATTGTCAAATCAACATCAAAGCAACTGTAAGCAGAACAAAATCAAAGCTGATATTTTATTAATGAACTAAAAAGAAATACAAACAACTTCAGCACTTCTTCGGTTTCAAAAACCTCTCATGCACTAGGCTGAGCCCATTTAACAACCTGCTATTGTAAATGATACTTTATCATGAATGTATGTTTCTAGTCCAAAGCTGAGGTCACTTTAATGTATTTTCATCTCTCTTAGTGATAGAGGTTCAAATTTCTCTTGAAATTTATGCATCTCTCCCCCTCCTCCCCTCCAAAAAACATCTGTGCATGGGGCATGGTATCAGCTAACAGATCCAAATTTTATAAACCCCAGCTATTAACTTCTTCCAACAGCAGAAGTTTTCCAATGGCACAGTAATATGGAAAAAATTAATATATTGCAGAACAGGCATCTAAAGATAGAAGGAATCACCTAAATACATTTTAAGCCCAAATGTCCCTATCTACATCTAGCTAAATCATCTAGGTGAATTTCTAGTTAAAACAAGATTCATGGAAATGAGTGATGTACCCCAAACACATGCTAACAGCTATGCTTCATATGCTCCTTACTTTCCATCTCTTGTTGCTAAAGACTACTACTAAAGATGGATTTTGATCCTTTGCTCAGAGAAATCCAAACTTCCTGAATCTTCGGACTTTATACAGTATTCTTGAGGCTAAACAGGAAAAAATGAGTTTCTGCAGACCTACATACAAGGGGAGTGGCCAAGAATATCAAAACAAACAGCAAAACACAAATACAAAAGCTCTCTTGCTTGCTCAAACAATGAGAATTGCACTATTTTCCAGAAGAATGTGATATTTATTTCTAAAACAAAAAAAAAAAAAGGCTTACTAAGAGGAAAAATGATGAAATTTATGACAATACCTGTTTGTTATTTTCATTGGTACAACGCAGCCTTTTGAGTGACACAAAGTGTCTAATTTTCCTAGCAAAAGAATAATCAGTTGTTACCACATCAAATGGTTATGAGAAAAGTGAAATGATATACTGCTGTTTTCCTAAAGCAAAGCTCTTGATGTCTTTATGAAACCAGATATCAAAACCAAACAGAGTACTAATCAACGAGCACTCCTTCCAAGATTTATGTTTTTGGCCCAGGATACTTGATTCTTTTCCTCCTGCAGGAATTCACCTGCACATCTGGGAGCCTAATGTGGCCGTATGCATACAATGCACTGTGAAGGTGCAAGTGCATACAAGCACGCGCACAAACACGAGAATCACCCAAGTGCTGATACTTACAAATGGCTTAGTAGAAGTTTGGATAATGCAGAATAACTGCATAAATAAGGCACAGTAACGTGTACCTAAACTTCAGTTTGTAGGTATCTGGAGTAGTGACACTATTCATTGTTAGGATTTTATACACAGTTCTGTAAGCCGGCATGTGACAACACTGAAACAGACAAACATCACCAAAAAGCGTGACCTTCTGAACATTACTTCTTCTCTCTGTATACTGACTACAGTCAGTAGTTTTATCACTATCCTGCTACTAAATACATAGGGGGCTCATGCCAAACTCACAAGTAGGAAAAGAAGAGAGAAGAATCTAAAAATGAGAAAGTAACTGTATTCTGGGCAAATTAGTTACCCTCCTTGACCAATCACGGGTGTTATCTTCACATGCTGCTGGATGCTGTCTCCTGATTTTCTTCGTGCATAGTAAACCCCTTGCCATTCCTAAGCAAACAAGCAGAGAATACATAAGAACACTTAGCTTACATTCAAATATTAATTTATTATTAGAGTCCTATGTAATAAATGAGAACATATTATTTGGTTTACGTTTTAAAATAGAGTAAAATGTATTAATTCAGCATATCATCTTTAGTAGACATGTACATACCTAAGAATAATTTTAAAATTGTTTCAGGTACTCTAGCCATTCATTCCCTTTCCATTCCCACTGCTATACCAGAAAGCATAAAGAAGATTGAAGACCAACTAGGGGCCATACATACACAAGCATTAAGCAGTAAAGTGACAGAGAAATACAAGACTATACTCTAATATGAACACAGGGCTTCCCTACTCCTACTGCCTCAAAGAAGATGTTTTTAACTTGGCAGCAGAGTAAGATGAAGTAAGGAACTGGAAGCAAAATCAGGTCTTTCATCCCTATCACATCCAAAGCCTGAGACACTACGTCCCAGTGAGAGAGAGCAGAGGGCCACTAAGCAGGCAGCACTAGCAGGTGGGCAGCCTACAGCAATGAGAAGCAAGAGTGGCCTGCAGGTACTGCTAATGAACCAAAATGAACCTGCAGACTCAATGCAATGGCTCCCTAAAGCTCAAGCCACTGCTCAAATGACTCAAAAATTGAAAAACATCTCACAGCTTGTGATGCTGAAGGGGGCAGGGAAGGACTAGAGGTATTTCTTCAATCTGCAGGAGATGGGACAAGGACCTGTTTCTGTATTAGGGGCTATATGGCCACAAATGCACAGCCTTGTTGTCATAGTCAGGTGACGTACCACTGGCAGCAGAGCACTGCATGGTGCAAGGCAGCTATCTATTCACAGTCAGAAAATGCAGCTGGTATTGGGTGCTAATATATTTCAGTCACAGCAGATTATGACCAGTGTTGCTTTGAGCATGCTGTCAGTGAAGGGTCTGCAGTTATGACAGAACTGTTAAACCTTTTGCTTGGATGACGACACTTCTTGAGACTGACTAAGGGACAAAAAGTATGTACGTCCCAACTTTTAACCTAGAGCATTTAACCCCTGCTTTTAATCCTAGAGCATTATAAATAAAGCAGATTAAAAACCTAAATATTGTACAGCCCTATTTTAAAATGTACTTACCTTTCCTTTTTTAATAAATGTGTTGATAGTGTCTAAAAGATCTGCACGGTTTTTATCACTTTTTGGTAGTTCAGTAAGTTCCTTGCCAATAAGCTCTCCCTTATGATACCCCATCATCCGTTCAAAGGCTGGATTAACATACTGTCAAACAGAAAAGTACTTTAGCATAAGGTGGAAAAGAACATACTTAAAAGATATTTACTTATGTAAATTTATTAAAGTATTAAAAGATATACACGTAAGGCCATAAAATGCCTATAGCTCAGGCCTTTTTACATTTAAAATATTACACAAGTAGTAAGATATTTCTGAAAACATAAGTAACATAAATATACCAGAAAGGAGCACTTAAATAAAGTTACTAAAGTCTTAAAAATTCAGTCAGCGTTAATAGGTAACATGCAGAGATAAGCCAACTTATTGCACAGAGCTTTCTTAAGGACAACAAAACTAAAATATCAAAATAAAACAAGAACTACTGGGCAAAGATCTTTTTGGGATTCCTCTCTTCACATTTCATAAAATCATTGGCTTTTTTTCCCCCCTACCTGAATGACATGGTCTTCACTGGTTATTTCTATAGCTTCCTGACAATGGTCTAATGCTGTAAACACTGCATTACAAGCCCTGAAATTAGTAAGTGGTTCATATTAGTTTTATTGTTAAAATACTTTGCTTGTCATAAATATATTACTACATTGTATTTACTGGTATATGGATCACAAACTAGTACACTGTTTTGATTAAACTATATAAACACCTCCACTACGACCATTTTTTTTTCAGGAAATTCAGCTTCAGACATTCCTGTTCATATATTTTTACTACAGATCACATTTAAAAATCGTTCATGTGGGTTAATAGTGGGTTTCTTTTTCCAGAGACTGTACTAGACAGCAAAAACTAACATTTAGCAGTAAAAATAAGATGTGACTTTGTGTTGCTACATCAGAAAAGTTTTGTAATCATTAAAGATAATGAACACAAAAATCATTGCAGCACATATTTACAACATTTTCAGTACAGGAAATAGTTTCAAGTAGCTGCAATATAACAAAATTTAAACATTTTTGTTGTTGTTTAGATTTTGAAGAAACCATAACAAAGCCCTAGTCACAAAAATTTCACTTTTCTTTCCTCCATGTAATAATCCAGTGACTTAATTTCTGCACATCCTGATCTTGAATAAAGGTTAAAATGATCTCCATTTCCAAGGCTTTCTTTCATCTAATACAGTAAAACAAAACTCTTACCTCTTTGCTATAGCTTTAAATTGCTCCACAGATGAATAAAAAATCTTTTGCTCTGCTTAAAGTATAATATACCAGTGTGGGATTAGCAGTAATGTAGGCTCCTAATATTAGAAATCAAACTACAATACACGGTAAAAGAAACATCCCAGACATTTCTGCTCTGATAGATGCCAGAAGTTTATCTTTGATTTGGACTAAACACAAATTAATTATCTTTTATGCATATCCTTCTATCTCTCACTGCAGAGGGCATAAAATCAACCACGCATAAGCATTCTTGTATATTATAATCACTACAAAAAAAGGAAAATCTTACCTACAGACTACCCTGCTAAGTTTGAATTAAGTACTGATGACTAGTAATTCATTAGCAAAGAAACATTTTGCCTCAGGATTAAAGAAATACCAATATTGCTAGCTCAGATCATCATAAAACTAACTAAAAAATAAGCAGCATGCACAAAGACATACACAAATATTGTATGCATACAAGTTATTACAAAAATAAGTAGCATGCAGAAGACATACAAATTTATGAAGATTTGTAGGAGGAAGTATTGCATAGAGAAGGAAGCAGTGGTATTTCAGCTCGTACAACAAAGAACTCCTATTGTCATTTTACAAATGATGCTCTAGCAATGCAAGCCAGCTCCACAGTGTGATTTTGTATTGTGTGAAACAACCTATCTGTCTTGGCAATGAATACTATGCTAGCAAGCCATTCTTGAAATGAATTATTCTAGGTGTTAAAGCAGGAGGATTGAATGGGGAGGATGCAATAATTAGGAGAAAATTAAACAAATGAAAACAAAGAAATAATAAGAGACCAATGACACATATGACACACCTTACACATACCTTAAAGAAGAAAAGAAAGAATAATTTATTTGCTTGTGTATTTTGGGAAACAGTAGGAAACACGTGGAAATGCCAGTAAGCTTCTACACAGAAAATACAAAGTGAAGAATGCGGTAACTCCTCTCAGCTAACAAATTAAGGAGGCCATTTGCGCAATTTTGAGGTTTCTGGCAGGAATCTGACTTTGAGCAAGGATGGGCAACAAAGTTCTATAACTGTAGCATTGGCTAAATCTATGAGAAGAGTAATTTAGAAAACTATGTCCAAGAGCTTGAGCGAGTTTCCTTTCAGGCTACAGTATTCCTCTTACTACAAATTCTGTTCTACTATAAGTAAACTACAAGCATTGTGCGTATGACAGCTTAATCTTAAATATAAACTAATACTTTTGAGCCATGCTGACATAATTCAGCAGTCACATATTTCACACTGCATTTACTGCCAAACAGTAATGCAGACCAGGACCACCATAACACCTAATTAAGTTCTAAGGTTTCACACCTGCTTTATTTTCTTGGTGAGCCTTGGAAAACACCTATTAAATAACTGTGTAAACACAAATGCTATCTTTATCTGTATTTTTTTAATTGCATTCTCCATGTATCAAATCATTCATTCAAACATAAGGTCACTTTGAATTCCATCTGAGAACACCATCTTAGAAAAGGTTACTGTTTAAACAGCAACACTGAATCCTTTCATGGCCCCTATCTTGCCTCTCTCACCCAAGTGATTAAAAAAAATTATATTATAGAATTTGCTGCAGATGGAACTGTAATTTACATATCTGCACAACTGCATCTTATCTGTATTCAAGGGCTGTTTTCTTATATAGTCAAACTGCAAACATTTACATTTATATATAGAAGCATCTATTTTAAATATAGTCATATTAAATGAAAAGTTATAGTGGAATGATGATCATTTATCTTTAATTTCTCCCCAAGATAGATATCAGTGATCCTGTTATGAGTCTTGGTCAATCAAGAATATTAAAAATTTGGGGTATGAAGATGTGGCTCAAGACTATGTTCATCACAAGTTGCCAGATATGAAACCTCAGCTATATGAGATCAAGAGTGACCTTATGAAGTTTTATTATCATGTAAATTTGTAGTCCATAACCTTATATACAAGATAGCATTTAAAAAATGCTGCCTTCCTGACTACATGAGGAGAAGTTATTGTTCTGCAATATCTTTGCCAAAGGATCTCATCCAGATTTGTGTTAGTAAACGTTGCTAGAATGTCATCACGCTCAGTACTAGCTGTTGTCTCCAACTACGCAGAGGACAAGAAGGTGCTCAGGAGTATTCAGCATAGATTCATCAAGGGGAAATCATGCTTGGCTAACCTGATAGCCTTCTATAGCTGGATAGATGAGGGGAGAGTGGTGGATGTCATCTGGACTTCAGCAAAGCTTTTGACACCGTCCCTCACAGCATCCTCCTGGGCAAGCTCCAGAAGCATGGGTTAGATGAGTGGACAGTGAGGTGGACTGAGAACTGGCTGCATGGCAGAGCTCCGAGGGTGGTGATTGGTGGTGCAGAGTCCAGTTGGAGGCCTGTAGTTAGCAGTGTCCCCCAGGGGGTCAGTCCTTGGTCCAGGTCTGTTCAATTTATTCATCTATGACCTGGCCTCCACAAGTTTGCTGATAATACCAAACAGGGAAGAGTAACTGATAGCCCTGAGGGCTCTGCTGCCATCCAGAGGGACCTGGACAGAGTGGATGGCGAGAAATCTCATGAAGTTCAACAAGGGCAAGTGCAGGGTCCTGCGCTTGGGGAGGAATAACCCCGGACACCAGTACAGATTAGGGGTGGACCAGCTGGAGAGCAGTCCCGCAGAGAGGGACCTGGGCGTCATGGTGGATGACAAGATGACCATGAGGCAGCAGTGTGCCCTGGTGGCCAAGAAGGCCAACGGGATCCTGGGGTGCATTAAGAAGAGCGTCTCCAGCAGGTCGAGAGAGGTGATCGTCCCCCTATACACAGCCCTGGTGAGGCCACATCTGGAGACTGTGTCCAATTCTGAGCTCCCCAGGACAAGAGGGATGTGGAGCTGCTGGAGAGAGTCCAGCGCAGGGCTACAAGGATGATCAGGGGCCTGGAACATCTGCCCTGTGAGCAAAGGCTGAGAGAGCTGGGCCTGTTCAGCCTGGAGAAGGGGAGGCTGAGGGGAGACCTGATCAGTGTGTATAAAAACCTCAAGGGAGGGAGTGAGGAGGACGGGGTGGCCTCTTTTCTGTAGTGGGCAGCAATAGGACTAAAAGAAACAGCCACGAACTGAAGCACCAAAAGTTCCATAGGAATTTAAGGAAAAAAATTCTTGACAGTCAGGGTGACAAAGCCCTGGAACAGGCTGCCCAGAGAGGTTGTGGAGTCTCCTTCTCTGGAGGTCTCCCTGGAGATCAAAACCCGCTTGGACGCAATCCTGTGCCATGTGCTCTAGGTGACCCTGTGTGTGCAGCGGAGTTGGATTACATAATCTCTAAAGGTTCCTTCCCACCATAACAATTCTATGATTCTAATACAGACTCTCCAAGACACACAGGGCATAAGCAAGTATTAGAGTAAAGGACATATACTGTATGTCGCATTAAGTAGAACCATAACCTAAATCACTACAGTATGAGACACATCAACTAACCTTTCTCTGGGTGCCAATCGATGTTCTTCTCTTACAAAATAGTTGAACAAGAAAATAAGCAGATAATAATTCAATAACATAGAGGTGCAAAACACATATATACATAATTAGGAAGAAGCAGAAAGTAAACTGATATAATTGTGTATACCAAAAAATTTATATTTGCAGTTTCTTGTACTTTACATACCGTAACTTGAACTGAGATCGCACTTCCCCATGTTCTATTTGAATCAGTTCATTGTAACAAGCAGTTATGCTGCTATTCTCCATGAATCTCTGAAAGAAAAATCAGGAGGAGCACATCAAACAGACCTGAATATTTTTAAACTATTATTTCTCAGCAATCAGACTCTAACTTATTTTTAAACTATTATTTCTCAGCAATCAGACTCTAACTTAGTTGTACCCTTTGTATTTAGTAATCATCTTTTCCACAGCAATGGCTTCATAGATAAAATCAGCACTGCCAGTTAAATACCAAGCAAGTATGACAATCTGCTAAACATGAACTGTGAATTTTCTCACTTGGCTTTATGAACCAGTTAGGTATAAATAATATAGAAAAAAAACAGTCTCACATAAAATCAATATTACATTGATGGGTCATTTTGGACATCTAACCCTTCATTCAGAAGGTGTTGGATGGCAATGGTAATGGAACACATTAAAGATGTAACATATTCACACTAAAACAGAAAAAAAAAAAATATATATACACACACACACACAGGATATTTCACTTTTTTTTTTTTTTTTTTCTCTCCAAAGAACTATAGGAGCTGAAACACTCAAGGTATAGGAACTTTGCTCTGCAAATAACCTGAGCTGTAGCTTTTGAAATCTGAACTGTGGAAAGGGATTTAAAGTAAGGAGCATGCTGACAACAATTAATAAAACTTTTATGTGCTCCAGAAGGAGCAGGTCCCATCTGGTAAAGGCAGTAAGCTGAATTGTGCTTGGTCACGCTGAAATTAGAAATTAGATGTCAGTCACAAAGGAATAGTAAATTCTCTGATTTTGGTTGAAGCAGATTGCTCGTTAGTAAACTTTTGCTATCAAGAGCCATACCACCCCTTTAAAAATGCATGCATAGATTTTCTGTTTTACATAGAAAATACACTGTCATGTTATTAGTTCTCATAGTATAGCTGCGTACTGCGCTGTGAGGCAGGATTCAAATCTCTGAAAAACAAGACCTATTTCAGGAAAAACCTACATTTCCTTCCTTCCTTTATGAAAAATGTCTTCATCTCAAGTTGCCACCAATATGTAAAAATTAAAGAAAAAAAAAGTGTTAATACAAGCCTAGTTCACTCCTTATTGTTAATATTTTAAAGTATTTCTATAACTCTCATTCCACATGTGTGAAAGTATATGGAATCAAAAGGCACAAAATCAACTTGGCAGAAGCACAAATGATGACGTGTTTTTATGAAATAAACTGTCTCCAAGCATACTGTTCTTCTGTGGCACTGTAGATGTCAAATACATTTGTTTAAAATAAGACCATATAAAGCTATTAAAAAATACAACTTAAACAATGATAGTAACCTCTTTCATAGGCAAAATTTACTAGAACATACTAAAACTCCTCTTTTAAAAATGCATTTTTAAGTATTGCTGTTTATTGCCCAAATTTAAAAAGAAAGATCTAGCCACCATATGAGCACGATCCACTAAATAGGAATCAAGGATTACAGTTTGCTGAAGTGCTACATTTTCTTTTGACTGCTGTGTATCCTTATGAAGATACACTGTATATTTTTAAGTTTACAGCACTATTTAAGTTCATTCACCCATTTAAGCTCACTCAAAACCTAGGAAATCAACTGGGAGCTGAAAAAAGCAGGAAGTTTATTCTTTCTTTTAATCTGTGCATATAAATGAGGCACGAGAAGATGAAGATTTATTAACTCTCACATATTGGAAGGCAGACAATAATACATCCTTTAAAAAAACAGAGCAAAACATTTACTATTTATACAGTACATTTTTATTTAACAAACATACTTTTAAAGTATGTTTTAGTTCACTTTAGTTGGATTCGACTTTTGTCCTACACAGAACTTGACACAAAGATTAATCAGCTAGTACAAATGCATCATTCATATTGCTTACCAAGAAGAAGTAGGTTTAACATTACAGATTTATTTAGTTGCAAACCAGGAAGTTTTAATAGTAATCGGTCAACAAGAGCCAACATTTGTTTATGGAAAGAACTAAAATTCAAAATGCAAAACAAGATTGCAGTTGAGCAATTTATTCCTAATTATTCCTAATTTAAATCACAGCAAAATTAGTCAGGAAGTTTTAATCACTATTATTTATATTAGTCCATCCTAAGTAGGCTATTACTATACTGAGGAGAAAAATATAAGCATAACAAACACACTGCATTAAAAAGATCATTAATTTAATAACAACAGCAACAAAAAATGATACAAGGGAAAAAAAATCTGAAGATAGGTTAAAGAAACATGATTTTCTTAAGCATGAAGACAGAAAAAAAAAAAAAAAAGCTATTTCCCAAAAAAGGATTAAAGGAGTTTTCAGAAACTGTTGGATCTAAACCTGAAGTCAAAATCTGATTACAGAAAGCTGGCATACTACTTGGCTCCAATATCTGACTCTTCTACTTGGAGATGCATTTAGAAGGCAATCACCATCTGAGACACCAAGTGCTTTTATTTTATTTATTTATTTATTTATTTTTGACAAGGGAGAACGGAGAAAAAATGAGGACGAAAGGATGACAAAGGCCAATACGATGAATAGTGGTACTGCAAGATACAGTTTCCAGAAAAACAAGATTGTAAAGACAAAAATAGTTAAGGGAAATGTATAATTTGAGCAGATAAAATTTTTCAAAAATCCTAGTCCCTGCATAGGCTGAGTTTTAAGTTTCTTTCTTTTTTATTTGGAGAGGGATTTTTTTTTTGTTTGCTTATCCTTGCTTTAGCTTTTGGGGTGGGGTGAGACAATGGCTAGAAGATCTTCACAGCCTTCCCTGTTACTTGCCACAGCAACTGGTCAAGCGCAGAAAGACGGCATCACTTTTCCTTCCCAAAAAGGAAGAAGTGACACTGAGATGGGTCTCAGAGTGACCCAATGTTTCCTGGGGCTGCACTCAGTCATGCACCTAGCAGTGCACCTAGCTCACAGAACACATTACCCTGCATTTTTTAATGGAATATTGAACTTCAGAAGAAATGAAAAGACTGCTGTTAAAAGCATTAAAGCTTTTTGGGTTGAAAGAGCAAACTACTCTAAGAAAAAACACAAATACTTGGGATAACCTTTCCCTCAGCCCCTACTTTCCCATTTATCACAGCATGTTAGCTCTTCAGAAATCTTTAATGCTTTTGTCCTAATAGTATCCATCCAAGAGGCACAGGATCTATTATCTCCTTTTGCAGATTATCTGTAAATGGTGGCTGACACTTCGCAATGAAACTCACACTATGAATTAGGTCAGATATTGGATTCGTGCACATTATGCACATAATAATATGCACATTAGCAGGGTGTCCTGTCTGGGCTAATTCGCTCACTGCTCTAATTCTCCTAACTACAGTTGATTCTCCTAACTACATGTCATAACTATTTTGTGTTACATTAACCTAATATTTAATACCTAACCAAAGCAACACACACAATTGTAGAGAGAGAGCAAGCAACTGAACCTATATTCTCAGATGTGAGAACTATTCTGCCCTCTTCTACAAAGTTGTGCTGAAAAGTGGTATGACAATTGGTCTTCTCTGCCTCCTGTACAGAACAGTTTCTAATGCAATAAAAAGAAGGGGCTCAAGCCAACATAACAAGTCAAACCTCACTAAAAACAAGAACGCCTCTCCATTTCAGCTGGAGCTAGACTAGCCTTTTATTGCTTTCGGAAGGGAAATTCTAGCAAAAGAAGCATGTCGAGAGGCCCACATATCAGGTAGCATGAGGTGGTGTGCAGCACATGGTCCCATAGCATTATTTTTTCAATGCGCTCATAAACAAACCTCACACTATTTGCCCAGGCCTCAAGAAATTGATCCCACACTATTCTTCCTTCTTCTAGAAGGATGAGCTAGATCACAAATTCCCTTATGCCATAAGCTTCTCAGATGATTTGTTAAAAAGAAGAAAGGGTACACAAACAACAGTCATTGCTTTACCATCAAATCACATTGTTTTTTCCATCAAAAATAATATTTCAGATAGAATCAAATGTGTGATTTACATAAAGGATTCATTTCCTTATGTGATTTACATAAAGGATTCATTTTCCACTTGAGGAAGCAGAAAAAGTTGAATGTTTCCTAACTTACTAGGTAATTGTGGCTACTATATTAAAAGTGTTTTACACATACTCTGTCAAAGCCTGCACGAAGAAGAGGAAGAACAGAAGTCTCTTCCTGGTCAGAAGATCTACAGAAAGAAAAGATACGATCATGTGATATCATATGAACGTTTGACATCAATTTGAAGCAATTACCTGATCATACTGCACTGAGAACAGCATTGCATAAAATACACATAAAAGTAATGTAACTCCAGAAATTGAACTTGTCAATATATTCCAAGATGCTACATAGTTGGCAAAACTCACAGGTATTCAAGAGAAATTCTGTTTCTCTTTGCATGCATACAAGGGTATTATGAAGACAAAGCATGAAGGGGGGTGAAAAATATCCTGTGACACCTCATGAGAAAGAATCTAAGGTGTTTTTAAGTAAAACGTGAAACAAATTATAAAACCTTAATCAGCACCAAACTTGGTCTCTATATTATAATACTGACAAAAATAGTTGTTGTCTTTCCATTCAATTTGCTAATATTTTACAGAGTTAGAAAAATTACCAAAATTAGAATGCATTCTGCAGTGTGCAGGAGTTTTAATAAAGACAGGGAAGTTCTCTTTTTCTAATCTAAAAAACTGGACAAACAACATATTCATTTATGTCAGTATGAATTTTGCCTGAATATACAAGGTATGAATTCTTGAACAAGGATTTAAAGAATCTTTGTTGCCAGTTTAATATCAGCAGAAATTAAGTTAAATTATCCCAGTTCCCTGAGAACCACTGTCTCACTTACTATTTGTTTTAGGAACTATCACAGACTTTTCTTACTTCTTTCTTTTCTTTACTTAGTATGCAAGCCATCTTGTCCCTTAAGAAAAGGTGGTAGGGATAATTTTATTCTGTATTAGTGGAGAGTTATCAAATATTTAAATAGGCCATATGCAACATCTCTTTTCTATTAGGTAAAACTAATACATTAAACTTACTCCATAAGGCTGGCTAATAATACTGTTATTAACCAACTGTAAGACATTGTATTTTTCTAAAACTAAAGAGCTTTCCCTAGGAGAAGTACTTACGTGCGTGGAACCACAGCAAGTATTACAGTGTGCTCTGATGGCTTTGTGGCACGGAGAGACCTACAGAAGAAAAATCTCTCAATTTTCTCAAAGTTACTTATAATATTTTTACACACTATATAAAAGAAAATCAAGCCTGAAAGATTCCACTGAATTCAGAAAATAGGATGTCATACTGCCCAAACCTACCTTCCCTTCTCAGATACTCCATTTCCACTTTACTACCAGACTCCTTGTTTTTATGCCACAAAGAGGATATAGAGGTGATAAGATTCAAACACATGGGCCACGAGCAGCAACTCTTCAAATACTCTCTTCCAAACTAGCAAAGTTTTGCCCTGTTCACCCAACTCAGGATATACTGCCAGAATGGTGAGGTAGATCAGTCTCTGCAACATGTTTTTAATATCCATTACTCTATTTACCCCAAAATCTCTCCTTCACAATCTCCTTCCATTAACATTGTCTTTTTAGAGACTGTAAAATTTTCTTTAAAGGATAGAAAGTATGTTTGGAGTATGCATACAAGAAAAGAGGGCACAGCAAAAGCAACTGGGTACTTGTTTATAATAGATTTTCATTTATGAATTGAAAGAAAAAGAACTTTGCCACCACCGAAGAGAGATCTCACCAAGGAACAGAGAGAAAATATGACCAACCAACTGTCAAATACAGACAAATAGGCCATTCATCTTAAATTCGTAAAGGATTTTTTTTTCAAACACGTCAGTCCCACAGTCAGATGTATTACAAAATACATGCTTCCGTTTAGAACTGCATCTTAGCACAGAATGTTAAAATAATAAGTGCTTCCAAACTTAGAGCTATTAAGAGAGTCATGTGCAACAAAAAGTGATGTGAACTTCTGCAAAAAGAAGAGTTCTCAGTGAAGCAAGCTTAATCTGTAGAACAAACAATAACAGTCCTCTGAGGCCCTACAGCTTTAGGAATTGTTGGAGCAGGAACCCAAAAAAGTGAGTTTTTCACAATAGCTCTGACTTATGCGGTGATGGAAGCCCATGACCTAAAGAGATAACTCTACAAGTCAAATATTTGCTTTGTCAAAAGCATATTATTCAAACTGTCTTCTCCTTCCAGATGTCTGTATATAATAAGTTTAATCTATCTTTCTTGCCTCCTTCATTTTCTTTCCTCCCCATTACAGTTTTTATCTTTCCTCTCAATGACAGAGCACTGCAAACTTCCTGGTGCCAATCTCCAACTTCCAGTTTACTACAGTTTTTTGGCTTTAAATCATCTTTTTGTACAAGTAGGAGTTTTGTACAGTGTATTATGAAGTTCAAGAGAGGCAGAAGGTCCATGAGGTTACCTGCAGATAGCTTCTGCATCAAAATATCTGGAGCTTCTGTGATCTATAACAATTATTTCCTGGTGCTTATCAAGAAAACATTCAAGCGCTGACTCTGGCGTCCGGGCAATATTGCACCTGTATCCAGCTCTGTCACAAGCCCACCAGAAACCATCACTCTGGTTGTCTTCTTTCGCAAAGATCAGCAAAACCTGCAAAGTATGCAAAACAGCAGCACCATCTTAAACACATCACATAGTTCTCTGCATGGTGCAAATCTTAGTGACAAGCACATTTTTACTCTATGAAAAATCCAAACCATTCTGGATCTATAGATGCAGTCTAATGTAGTCAGATAATATAAAAGTATGACTATCTACTTAAAGAACGTTGATTTTTTAGGACTCTATTGACTACTTTCAAATACACTGTGTGGGTTCTAGATGTAAATGTGTCTGTAGTTAGCCTAGGTGATGAGAAGTTACCTCATGTGTTCCCTGTTTGAACATTACAGCTCCAGAACACTTCTGCTATTAAGCAGGCATTTATTCATTAGGATTGAAACCATATAAACAGCTTGCAGATGACAACTGAATCTCTTCCAGCTCATAGTCAAATTTGATCAGGAGTAACCCATGGCAGATTTGGGGAAATGTTCGAAAGCATTACCACTCTCATTAGGCTTTCCCTGCTACACACACTTTAAGTTGCGAGAAACCATCTGAAATGTAACAGCAGACAGTTGTTTACAATTTTTACAAATGTTTACAATTACAACAGAAATGTAATTAATTATCACTCTTCAGGGAAAAACAATTAACATAACTTTTTTCCCCATTATTTTTCCTTTAATGCACAGAGAAATGGAGAGAAGTCATTCTTTCAAAATTAAAAAATAACAGCAACAAAAAAACAACACACAGGCAGATATGGACAGAGCTATGTGGAGAAAAAAACCCAATGATCCAAACTTCACAATTTTGCCCAACATTGTTTCCTAAGTTAGGGAACAATACATAGGAGTTTTATCAAGATGAGCTCAAGGAAAGGCAGCAGTCTCAGAATAAGTGTAAAGCAAAATCCTGTTCTTTTCACACATGAAAGTCATCAAAAGCTTCACTGAAATGATCTATCAGAGCAACATATGCAATATTTTGCCCGAGATGCCCATGAGAAAGGTCAATGTTTTTATTAGCACTGCACTGTGTAGCTGTGCTGCCACCATACAAAATTCAAACCCACCAGCCTAGAAGCACCACAAGGTGACCATAACTTTTATCTTAAACAAAGTGGATTAATGAATTCTAAACAATAAACCAAGTAATTAATGCTACTGCAGCAGCACTATCGGCCAAGGGCAGTGAAGAAAGTTATGTGCTAGGAATTTCAATAAATATTAAAAAATATATGTAAAATTTTAAATTTATTAGAATGAGTATTTTAATTGTATTTACAGAATCACAGAATAGTCAAGGTTGGAAGGGACCTCTAGAGATCATTTAGTCCACCCCTCCTGCTCAAGCAGAGACACCTAGAGCACATGGCACAGGGTTGCATCCGGGTAGGTTTGGAAGATCTCCAAATCACTCTTCACCCTCATCCTTCTGTCACTCAGTAGATATTCAGGGAAATACATGGCAAGGTCACTTACAGTTTGACTGTATGTGCTTTCTACATATCAAAATACTGCTCAAGACAAACGTTACAAATATCTAAAACAATTCAAACATAATGAAAACAAAAATCAAACGGCAGTACTTTGGAGAGGGCCTACATGCTGCGCTTCCTTTCTGAAATAAACTGAGGGAATTCCATAAACTGATGGAATGAGAGAGTTGAATCAAGAAAAATACACTGAAAAGCAGTAGGAAAAGAACAAGAGGGAATAAAGAGGGAGCTGAAGGCACCAGAGTGGGGCTCTGCTTGCAGGAAAAAAACATGTTTAGACAGAGGCTGAGGACCGACATCTGGATGGTAGTGACAGAAATGACTTTCCTACAAAGTAGGGACAGGAACAGCTCTCAAATACTGCAGGCGATGTCTTAAACAAGGACCATGTTTTCCTTCTGATGACATAACTCACAATAATTCTACCTCCTTTCCATAATATTCCACAAAAATGTTGAAAAAGTTTTGGGGAATTGTAAAGCAAAAAAAGGTCATTATGTCTGCAACCTCTAAGACTTTCAACAACCTATAAGATTCTGATAATTTTATCACTTCAAATCTGCTTTTTTAACCTCTGTTTACCCTCAGGCCTACTTGCCCTGTTTACCCTCATTCCTACTCCCTGTTTACCCTCAGGCCTACTTGCCTTGTTCACCCTCAGGTCTACTCCCCCTGTTTATCCTCAGGCCTATCTGCCCTGTTTACCCTCAGATCTACCCCTATTTACCCTCAGGCCTACTTTTAACAACAAGCAAATTTGGGTTACTGTCACCCAAGGTAACAGTTGTCACCCCACCCAAGCACTCACTTGTTTACAGCTACCAGAATCTCTGAAAGCAGTGACATGGTTAAGCTGTAAACCTCTGTCTGTGGATAGTCAGGTCAAGTCCTGACTCTGATACAATCTTCTGTTTGTTTCCAACTGCCATTAGCTTTATTTTGTTCCTAGTGTGATCAGCACAATGTGATCAGCAAACAGGTTTTTCATGGTGGGTTTTTTTTCCTCTTTTTCCTTCTCTTGACATCCCCATTTTAGAAATAAATGATTGCAAAATTAAATCATTTACCAGCTGCAAAATACTGGAGCATAATTAAAGTGCCCAATCCCCCACTGGTAGATAATTATGTGTGAGTCCTTCCGATAATATTAAATTTAAAAGGCACCACTTAAAATATTATTACCATGCATTCTCACTAAAAATTGTATAGAGACTACTTTAAAACATTAAAACAGACTAACTAAAGCCTTGCAGGTATACTGCAAGATATGCTCTCAAAAGCTTAAATTCAATACATGTCTCTTGGTGAAAGATGTTTTAATGTTTTTTGATATAATTTTTTTTTTTACTGTGAATTCCTCATTTTGCTTAATTACAGGCATTGCAGGCACTCTTGCTTAGATAATTCACAATTTTTGGTAATAGATGGGAATCGTACCATCTTTTTAAGTATTTATGCTGAACAAACATTGCATTTCTTGGCTTCAGCTTATCATGCAAATACAGAAAATTGACAGATCCGCCTCAAATATCTCAAAATAAAACTAATGACACCAAGGATACCAAAAGGAAACAATGAGAATGCTATAAACAGCAACTAAAGAAGTCATAGCACACTACCTAATTATTTATATGTTCTTGCAGGTATCACAGCAAAAGAGTTTTAAAAGAAGAAGCCACAAGGGGCTTTGAATTAGTTAAGAGGAAACTCTTGTTACACCTCAAATGTGAGAATAGTTAAAAGCTGGGCATCATATAAATGTTTCAGTCACAGTTCACAGTCACAGACCATCATTAGTAGAACAGAGATGCAGTTTGACGTCAGTGCTATAAAAGAGGTGATGAACAACAAAGGCTTTAAAGAGCAGAATGTGCTATTTGAGTGGAGGACAAGATTAGGTGGTAAAGAAATGACTACATGTGCTAGAAAACCTGTAGCAGTTTTCTGAAAGCAAGCAAGCAAACTGTATGTGCTAAGACCAAAAAGAGAGAATATAGTTACTAATGATGACACTTACAACTATTAAGTTACTAAGACAAGAAGGACAGTGATAAGAAAAAAAAATGTCAATGTTGCAGTGCCCTCATTAAACCCAAGAACGCAGGATCAGCGCCATAGTAACTCTACTAATACACAAGCAGAATTACTTCTTGTATATGAATAATTCTAAGCAGATGATGCCAAACTTCACCTTAAATCCTTGCTTTGTTAGTGCTTATCATTACATTTTCTGTGCCTTGACCCACCACTCTCCCTATCCCACACCAAACCTCTAACCCCTTGGTAATTAGGGAAATTGCCAGCACACACACAGTTTCAATCTAATAAAAATAAGAATTAAAACTGTACAAAAACATTCCCATCGGTCATTGTTCTAAAATAGATCTGGCTTATACGATACCACATAATAGCCTGTCACTCACTCTCTGGCTTTAACAGTTGCTAATGGTTCCAGATGGAGGGCTTTTTCTTGTTTTGCAAGATACTCCATAGAAACTGAAAATGGATTTTATCTGTGGTCCAGTCCCACAAATTAAGCTCACATTAATTTATCCACATTAAAGTTTTGACTTCAATCAATTCAACCACAAGCATGAGGGAGACCTCATGCAAGTCAGCTCCTTGACCATCAGAATCCATCTTCTATCAAAAGGCAAAATCCAAGAAAAGTTCCAAGACTAACCAGACCCAGTGATTGTCCTAGATTATTATCTGGCCTGTTTTAGCTTTTTCTTCTGATCTAATCGTGTTTGTCGTTATCTCAAGAATCTTATATAAAAGCATCACATCCAAATCTTCGTCAGACTTAATAAATAGCTCTGCAGAAGCATAAGGCAGTTTTCTGTGTGTACTAAATACTTAGGAAAGAGCATTCTCCTGTGTCCTCTGGAGAAACAGCACATTTACTCATTTCTAAGGTCTCAAAACCAAAATAAGGTCTATTTTCCAGCTAAAGCACAAAATGTGGACAGACACACATACATACTGCATGTATGAGAAACAGCATGGGAGGGCTTTTGGACGGTAAGAGATCAAGATTTTCTTCAGACACTTTCTTTCACCCTTTCCTCTTCAGGTCTAGAGTACCTGAGTCATAATCTAGTACAAACCAAAATAGATTTGGCCTCTAGACACAGATGGTCATAAAGTCTAGTAAGGAATCTATTAAATGGTTTATGGAAGGTCATAGTGACTACAAAGGCCAACTCTCAGGCAAAAAATACAGGCTATTTCCAGGTTGGCATAGGTGTAATGGTGCCAAACAATAGCTTAAAACGTGCTCCAGAATAAAATGAAGATTGCTAAAACAAAACAAAACAAAAACCTCAGTGAAAATTGTTTTAGTTAGCTAAACTAACTTATCAGACCATTATAGATATAATTAAGCACCAATGAGCAGACATTTAAAACATGATATTCAATAGCTGTTTGCACTGCACAGAGAAACATGCAACTCTATTGTCAAGATGGAATAAAAGATAAACGCACACGTTTTTAAATGAGTGGATGTGTGCAATACTTGCCAAACTAGCTGAGGTAATGTGATTTGTTCCATGCCTGGGTTTACACAAAGTGCTTTTCTTTTATTATAAATAAGTTAGTGTATGGCAATGTCTTTATGGAACAATCTTTAGTTAATGGTTGTATTTAAGGTCTGCTTTCTTTAGCACCACAGATTCTGTCTTAAATGATATAGGGCTAAAAATAACACCCACATCTGACTAGATGTCAAAGAGAAAAACATCAAAAACTTTTTTTTAAAACAAGCAAAAAAAAAAAAAGAAAAGAAAAACAATCAACCAAACAGAAAACACTTAATTTTTATATGGTACTCGTTCACTTAAATTATATTTTAACAGCTAACATTGATTTTAGGGTATTTTGACTAATTCCAGTTTCTACAAGCATACCGAGAAGAATGCTAACATAAATACAGGGAATTCTTACTTTTTAAATATATTTTGACATTACTTAACACTACCACAGCCTGAAGAGCATGTTTGCCATGAAGAGTTCTACATATCTGTGTTAAAATTCCTTACAAAATAACAAAGACTCTGCTCTCCTGTTGAAGCTACCTTTCCACAAAACTGTAATATAAACTGTTTCATCAGATCCAGTCATTATTGAAACTGAATATTTAATATAGAAATAAAAACGTAAAGCTCTGTGATGCATGTAATATATTTAAACACATATGTTATTTTCCTTGAGAAAAGCAGTTCTTCCATATGTAGATTTTGCTTCCTACAGTTATGAATGTAAAAACAAAACAAGCAAACAAAAACCCAGAAAAGGTAATTGCTGACTAAATACTTCCATAATTTACAGAGTTAAGTGACCCCCGGCAAAAAGTTCAGATGGCCACTGTATCACAGAAAACGTTAAAATCTCAGGTGATACTATTTCCCTATTATCCTCAGATAATAGCTCTGAAACACAATACTGAAAGCTAAAAAGTAACTCCTTGCATCTGTTTATTGTCACAAAACAGAAACAGAAATAGCAGCAACTGTGTGTAAAAACTACTGCACGGTAAGCCAAAATTCAATATTCTTTGTTGGAAGTCCTTTTTTAATACTTGTGACTTGGTTAAGGCTCAGTTCTCCTGCTGTATAGTCTTTCAGCAAAATTCACCTGATACCTAGACTTGATAATGCTGTCCTCTGCTATAGGGTATCAGAACTGAACAGCCTTTAACATTCAAAGAGGCAACTTTTTTTTTTTTTTTTTTTTTTTTTTTTTCCTCCTTGCTAATGCACGTACAAACACATTCCTACTGACGGGACATATAAAAGAAATGATTTTATGTTAGTGGATATCTGAGCACCTTGTTTATCAGTTTACTTTACCCGCAGGTCTCTTCTCAGGCAATTAGATAAACCAAAATACCAATTATCCATCTCAAAGTCCTTGTACAAGTAAAATGAAAACATTATGCTTAACTATAAGGGCTGAACCTTAATTTCTTCACCCATTAAACCTAAATTGATTGTATCAAGAAACTGAAAAAACATCTTACCTGGATTGGATCTTGTGTCAGTCTCATGGGCCCAATTTGTACCTCTGTAGTTGAAGCCTGCTAAATAAGAGCAATAGAGTTTTTTTTTCAGTATAGTTCTGAACAAGATTCCTTTTAGAAACAAGAATTCAAGATCAGACAAACCTACGAAGGATTCTCAAAGAAAGGAACCTGACTAGCAGCCTTGTTCCAGTTACTTTGAAGTACCTCTTTGATGAACATTTTTTTACCAAATGCTTAATTTTGTCTTTGTCTTTAAGTTGAAATGCTGTAGGGCTTCAAATGAAGAAAAGAAGAAATGCTTCTAGCTTTCCTTCTTCTCCCCAGAACACGATACCCTGCTTATACAACAAGAGTTATATATTGCTTAATACTATACAAAGTTATTTTTTTCTGACTAAAAAATGCCTTATTCATTTGAATGGAATACAGAGTTTCAAAGTCCTGTGACATATATTTGAGACTAGTATCTTACTATGTTTTGTTAAAAAAGTAATCTGTCAGACAGGAAAAATCGTCTGTACTGCAGATTTAGATTTATTTTCCAGAAATACAGCCCTTGGTTTGCAGGGAGGCAAAAAAAATGTTGCTACCATGTGAGTCATGACAATTTCAGAAGACTTGACAGCATGAGAGAACATCATAATTTAATGCTGTTATAAGAAAGCTGTCAAACATTGGTTATGGCTACTCTATTTCCATATTTCCTAGGCGCTGGACAACCTTTTATATATTTTGTGCAGTGATACATTTCAATACACTTTTCCTGTACACTACCAATTTGTTTCATTTTAGATTATTACTTTCAGAATACTGGTGACCAATTGAGCAATACCCTGTACTCTCCCATGGATGTATGTAAGAAAAAAAGAATCAGTGCATCCTTAAAATACTACTCCCATTACCCATATGGAAGATTATTTACAAGTTCAGCCTATAAAAGGGCAGATTCTCTTCCTTTCTCACACCAGTCATCCAAAGTAACTTAGCCCTGCAAGCCATGTGTAGAACACAACCCTGCTTGTAGGCAGATTCTTAGGATTTGCTCTGACACTCAGGAATCATGAAATTCTGCAGCGCACTGCTCTGCATTGCTGGTTAGCTTGAGTCTTTTGGAGGAGTATTGCCTTGTTTTTAAAACCAGCATTTTTCAAAGGAATGCAAAAAACATTCAGTGCAGCTGAAACTACTGGTAACCAGTTTTCTTCCTTATAAGACACAATACCTTGTTAAGTATTAACAGCCTTGCCTGCATGGGAGACAGTGGAATTACATATAGCTATTACTGCCATGCTGGACTTCCATGCATCACTGAGAGTTGATTCTTCTCAGCCCAGCAATGTACGTCAGAAGGTGGCCACAGGCAGCACTCCAAGAGATTAAACTACAAAGAGTCTGTCACTGTTTTCCAAAGCAAAAGCTGCCCCCAATATATCTGTAATTAACCTCTCCTTTTCTCACACAAAAGCTTCACTTACCACTTGGGCAGCTGCCATGTGGGAATGGAACTTAATGCAAGTAAGTGTGTCAGAATAGAAATGGAAGTTAACACTGAACATCAAGTTAATGAATTAGGTTACAGAAACAGAGTTCTCTGAAAGCTCCCGACCTTTCCCCATCCCTCCCCACACATACACAAAAAGGAAAACTAAACACATTCTTCCTCCAGTGATATTATACAGGAAACTCCTAAATACATTATTCTACCATGACTCACTTTTATTAAAATAAAAAATAGTTTAAGTAGTCTCATTAGAAGGTTGTATAATAAGAGGAATACACAACAAACACAGCATCATCCAAAAGGCTTCTTTTTAAAAATACACAGCTCTATGTTGAAATATTGATCAGGAGCCTGAGAGCTTCAACAAAAGACAGGTAGGACACAGATATGTATTTTATTATCCATTCTAAGGAATCAACCCCTTAACTGCACTGTTTACCCTGTGCTGTCACCTCCAAGGACTCAATTTTATCCAGAAATGAAAAACTATGTCTAAAATGTAGATCTGTGCATGAAAGTCTACCAATGCCTTCATGGAGTTTTCTTTAAAGAGTGACTACTTCCCTTATTCCCTGTGTTTTTTGAACAAATAACCAAACAAAAAACCTCCACCAAAGTTGGTAAACTACATTTCTTATACAACACAGAGGGGATGGCTGAGACTCCAAATTAAGACAGGCAATGATTCTGGGCAGAGGAAGAATTAATAAACCATCTCACTGGAAACAGCAAAGAGTAAGTCCAAAATTTTCCTTCCTGGACTTGGAGTTCTGAGCCTGATTTCACAAACTGAATCATTCCCCTTGGTTTATATGCCCCAAATGCTTTGAGTACAAACGACTTGACTCACTTTTCTCTTTTAAAATATGGCTGGAGGAGGCAGCCAGAGTGATGATATGAGCCTAGTCTCCATTGAAGCTCTACACTTCTCTCCTTGGCCTGAAGGAAGCCAAGTTCACAACTTCCTAACTCCCAGAAGAATCTGCCCATGTGGATGTTGCATATTAGTGATACCACAAACATACCTCTGTTTATTTCCTGACTTAAGTATCTCATCACTGATGATTTCCAACTTCAATAAATCTCTCCTTATTTTATTGACTGCAGGAAGGACTGCAAATAGACTTGCAACCTAAATCAATTAGTACAGTAGCTCATGATAGACTTTTCTGGTAAAATGTGAGGCCAAGCCTGTGTCTACAGAGGAACCAGAAATTCCTGATTTCAGTGAGCAGAGGAACAAACATGCCATTGGAAACAGAGAATTCACAAGTAAGTTGACTATCTGAGAATAATAAAAGCTTAGAAATACTCATTTGTTTAAACATTTTAAGCTTCCAGTATTATTTCTAATATCATTTAACCTCCTAGACCATCACCTAGGAAACAGCTATTAAGCAAAAAACAAAGTAAACTGCATTTTCTTAAATTCCATTTTTTAAATAAATCAGCCATCATCCCTTACTTCACCATCATAGCAATAACAGCAAGCAAAACGTACTTGCCGCTTCACTTAAGTTCCATCCTTTTAAGTCACCAACCCAATGCCCACTGCACAGCCAGAGGCCTGAAGCTGTACACTGCCCCTGCAACTTAAAAGTCATCTGGAATCAGTGTCACAACCATGTGAGGATCATGGCTGCTTAGCAGAGCGAACAGGTCTTGGGCTCAGGGTCTCACTACACCACTGTGCTGCTTCACAGAATCACAGAATAGTTGATGTTGGAAGGGACCTCTAGGAATCATCTGGTCCGAACTTCCTGCTCAAGCAATGACACCCAGAGCATGTGACACAGGGTGGCATCCAGACGAGTGTTGAAGACCTCCAAAGATGTCTTCTTCTCCCCCTTCCCTTCATCCTTGATTCTGTCTTTTCTGGCTAGGTATCCTTCCCAGTATTCCCTGGCTCAGCTTTTCCCCTCCTCCCATTCACAGGGATACTAAAAGTTGACCCCTCAATCCATCCCTTGGTTATTCCCATATCCATACCCTGTTATGTCACTATTTACAACATCCAATCTATGGCTAAGCAGGATTTCTATGAATGACACACGACAACCCAATTTAAAAAATAAAATAAAATAAAATAAAATAAAATAAAATAAAATAAAATAAAATAAAATAAAATAAAATAAAATAAAATAAAATAAAATAAATCCAATCAGATTCTGGCCTTGTAAGTGATTCGGTGCAAAGCTCAGTCTGATTTGCGTCAGCTGCAGGAGCAGATGTTGGGATTTGCATCTTTCTTTCTTCATACTCATTCCACTCTACAGGATTTTCTACCTTGTGCCTCTAATTAAAAATAAGGAAAGTAAGTGCTACAAAACAGAATTGTTTTCTATGTATGTCTCACTCTGTTTTTTTTTCTCTGAAACATAATTAATCAATTTGTGAGCAATTATAGACTAGTTACCATTTGACTAATCAAATCTTGCTGTACACAATCTCAAAGCATGGCAAGGAAAGAAAAGCAAACCAATGAGATGTAGGTAAACCTTTGGAAGAGAAGCAGGGAGAAGAAGGGAACAAAGGGCAGCTATCAAGAACAGGTCACAAAACCTGGAATATGCTTAAGAGAAGAAAGTATTGAAAGAGAAAATGCACTGACACTAAATAGCTAGTGATTTCAGACAATATCTTGAAAAAGCAAGCTGACACTTGTAAAGTAATTCTTTGAGCTCAGGCATATGTATGCCTGATATAAAATGACAACTGAGGCAAGAACATTATAGTAAGACTTTCTGCATTCTGTCCTGATAGCAGCTTCTTTATGAATACATTATCATAACAGGCAATAAAATAGTCAAATAGAAAAGACATCAGTATTATTTTGCTAATTTAGGCATACAAGCTGCCATTGTGAATCAGTTCCCAATTCTATTCACAGCAGCATCTGTGAGATGAAAAAAAAACATCACAATCCATACCCAGTAGTCTGAGTCCCATTTATTGCCACAGTTTGTAAATCAGGGCTTCCAAAAGAAGTGGGAAGCAATCCAGCAGCTTCATAGAGAGAGCTTCTCCCCAACACGGATTTTTCTTACATGGATTCAGGGTCTGTCACCTGTGCATTGGTTCTAGTAGGACCACACTAGGATGTTAGCACATTTTTGATGTTAGCACAAAATAGATTTGGTGTCCAAGTCAAGGCTAACCTTACATATGGTTTGTTAAACACAGCTGACTAAGACACACAAATCCATAAATGTTGTTGGAGATTTATAGACACATTTGCAAGTGCATGTAAGGGCTCTTATAACATAACATTCTCTCCTTGGCTTCTCTCCCCATTGCCAGGCAGTGTTTTCTTCACACTTCTTCGATCTTGATTGTTTAAGTTTGATTCTAAAATCTCAAATTAGCACACAAATATGTCTACATTAACTATGTTTAAAATAAATGCTCTTGCTGCCAATCATTTTATCAGAAACCTATAAAAAGAAGAAGGAATCTCAGAGAAGAGGAATCTCAAGCTTTCTGGATTTTTTTTGACATTTTATTTCAGTCTTCACAAAGGGATATACAATCATATTTAAGTGTCACTTCCCAGGAT